GGGCGGTTGTGAGGGGGGCGGTTGTGAGGGGGGCGGTTGTGAGGGGGGCGGTTGTGAGGGGGGCGGTTGTGAGGGGGGCGGTTGTGAGGGGGGCGGTTGTGAGGGGGGCGGTTGTGAGGGGGGCGGTTGTGAGGGGGGCGGTTGTGAGGGGGGCGGTTGTGAGGGGGGCGGTTGTGAGGGGGGCGGTTGTGAGGGGGGCGGTTGTGAGGGGGGCGGTTGTGAGGGGGGCGGTTGTGAGGGGGGCGGTTGTGAGGGGGGCGGTTGTGAGGGGGGCGGTTGTGAGGGGGGCGGTTGTGAGGGGGGCGGTTGTGAGGGGGGCGGTTGTGAGGGGGGCGGTTGTGAGGGGGGCGGTTGTGAGGGGGGCGGTTGTGAGGGGGGCGGTTGTGAGGGGGGCGGTTGTGAGGGGGGCGGTTGTGAGGGGGGCGGTTGTGAGGGGGGCGGTTGTGAGGGGGGCGGTTGTGAGGGGGGCGGTTGTGAGGGGGGCGGTTGTGAGGGGGGCGGTTGTGAGGGGGGCGGTTGTGAGGGGGGCGGTTGTGAGGGGGGCGGTTGTGAGGGGGGCGGTTGTGAGGGGGGCGGTTGTGAGGGGGGCGGTTGTGAGGGGGGCGGTTGTGAGGGGGGCGGTTGTGAGGGGGGCGGTTGTGAGGGGGGCGGTTGTGAGGGGGGCGGTTGTGAGGGGGGCGGTTGTGAGGGGGGCGGTTGTGAGGGGGGCGGTTGTGAGGGGGGCGGTTGTGAGGGGGGCGGTTGTGAGAGGGGCGGTTGTGAGAGGGGCGGTTGTGAGAGGGGCGGTTGTGAGAGGGGCGGTTGTGAGAGGGGCGGTTGTGAGAGGGGCGGTTGTGAGAGGGGCGGTTGTGAGAGGGGCGGTTGTGAGAGGGGGCGGTTGTGAGAGGGGCGGTTGTGAGAGGGGCGGTTGTGAGAGGGGGCGGTTGTGAGAGGGGCGGTTGTGAGAGGGGCGGTTGTGAGAGGGGGCGGTTGTGAGAGGGGGCGGTTGTGAGAGGGGCGGTTGTGAGAGGGGCGGTTGTGAGAGGGGGCGGTTGTGAGAGGGGCGGTTGTGAGAGGGGCGGGTTGTGAGAGGGGGCGGTTGTGAAGAGGGGCGGTTTGTGAGAGGGGCGGTTGTGAGAGGGGCGGTTGTGAGAGGGGCGGTTGTGAGAGGGGCGGTTGTGAGAGGGGCGGTTGTGAGAGGGGCGGTTGTGAGAGGGGCGGTTGTGAGAGAGGGCGGTTGTGAGAGGGGCGGTTGTGAGAGGGGCGGTTGTGAGAGGGGCGGTTGTGAGAGGGGCGGTTGTGAGAGGGGCGGTTGTGAGAGGGGCGGTTGTGAGAGGGGCGGTTGTGAGAGGGGCGGTTGTGAGAGGGGCGGTTGTGAGAGGGGCGGTTGTGAGAGGGGCGGTTGTGAGAGGGGCGGTTTGTTGAGAGGGGCGGTTGTGAGAGGGGCGGTTGTGAGAGGGGCGGTTGTGAGAGGGGCGGTTGTGAGAGGGGCGGTTGTGAGAGGGGCGGTTGTGAGAGGGGCGGTTGTGAGAGGGGCGGTTGTGAGAGGGGCGGTTGTGAGAGGGGCGGTTGTGAGAGGGGCGGTTGTGAGAGGGGCGGTTGTGAGAGGGGCGGTTGTGAGAGGGGCGGTTGTGAGAGGGGCGGTTGTGAGAGGGGCGGTTGTGAGAGGGGCGGTTGTGAGAGGGGCGGTTGTGAGAGGGGCGGTTGTGAGAGGGGCGGTTGTGAGAGGGGCGGTTGTGAGAGGGGCGGTTGTGAGAGGGGCGGTTGTGAGAGGGGCGGTTGTGAGAGGGGCGGTTGTGAGAGGGGCGGTTGTGAGAGGGGCGGTTGTGAGAGGGGCGGTTGTGAGAGGGGCGGTTGTGAGAGGGGCGGTTGTGAGAGGGGCGGTTGTGAGAGGGGCGGTTGTGAGAGGGGCGGTTGTGAGAGGGGCGGTTGTGAGAGGGGCGGTTGTGAGAGGGGCGGTTGTGAGAGGGGCGGTTGTGAGAGGGGCGGTTGTGAGAGGGGCGGTTGTGAGAGGGGCGGTTGTGAGAGGGGCGGTTGTGAGAGGGGCGGTTGTGGGAGGGGCGGTTGTGAGAGGGGCGGTTGTGAGAGGGGCGGTTGTGAGAGGGGCGGTTGTGGGAGGGGCGGTTGTGGGAGGGGCGGTTGTGGGAGGGGCGGTTGTGAGAGGGGCGGTTGTGAGAGGGGCGGTTGTGAGAGGGGCGGTTGTGGGAGGGGCGGTTGTGGAGAGGGGCGGTTGTGAGAGGGGCGGTTGTGAGAGGGGCGGTTGTGAGAGGGGCGGTTGTGAGAGGGGCGGTTGTGAGAGGGGCGGTTGTGAGAGGGGCGGTTGTGAGAGGGGCGGTTGTGGGAGGGGCGGTTGTGGGAGGGGCGGTTGTGAGAGGGGCGGTTGTGAGAGGGGCGGTTGTGAGAGGGGCGGTTGTGGGAGGGGCGGTTGTGAGAGGGGCGGTTGTGAGAGGGGCGGTTGTGAGAGGGGCGGTTGTGAGAGGGGCGGTTGTGAGAGGGGCGGTTGTGGGAGGGGCGGTTGTGGGAGGGGCGGTTGTGAGAGGGGCGGTTGTGAGAGGGGCGGTTGTGAGAGGGGCGGTTGTGAGAGGGGCGGTTGTGAGAGGGGCGGTTGTGAGAGGGGCGGTTGTGAGAGGCATCTGTTAAATGTGAGTCAGAAGCATCTGGTATGCCAAAAACATCCCCTTGAAAATGTGAGTCAGAAGCATCTGGTATGCCAAAAACATCCCCTTGTCCTACGGTGGGCGCATTTAAAGGACCTTATATCAGGGAACCTCACCTGGTACTTGCCACTTGCATACGATCCCTCTTGATAAAAGTGAAGTTTTGAGAAGTCTCAAAACTTCACTCCCAGACGTTCCCTCTTGTTTCTGTCCGTCCTCCATCCGTTCATTTTCCTCCCGTTGACTCGCTTTTCCTCCCCTTCCGTTTCCTCCCTTTCTTCTGAAGCTATCCCTGTTTCCTCTGTTGCACCCCAACGCTCCCATCCCAGTTCTCCTCTTATCCACACCAAGTCATTCATGAATGCACGTCCCTCGCATTATCCCCTCGTTCCACGCTTTCCCTGGTCTCAAACCTCCCTCATTCTCTCCTCTTTATCCACCCCAGCCACTAGTTTCTGCTGCCCACAGTGCAGGCAGCTGTGGGGGATCGGGGGTGGATTCAGAAGGAGTGGTTACAACTGATGCGAAGGAGAGACACGTACACAGGGGAGGAGGGGAAGGCAGGGCGGGGAGAGCAGGGGGAACGCAGGTGAGGACGGCGCACCAGTGGCTGCCAGTGGGTGGGAGAGCAAGCGAAGCAGAGTTGAGGGCACGGCTGCGGAGAAGGATTGATAGTTTACTGCGCGTCCGCCCGGAAAGGCTGCAGATTGCTACCCTACGAATCAATTGGGTGGTTTCCCAGCTTTTGTCCCAAGATTTTGTTGAATAATAACTCTCCTTAAATAGGCTCTCCCTCGCCTACTACCTCCATCTCACTCCCCATTGCTACCCAGACTTCCTAGCATCCCTCACCACGCTCGCACTCCGCATAGTCGACCCCGTCTCGCCATTCGCCGTGAAACAGCTCCTTGGCCTGCCCTCACTTACAGCGTGTCACTTCCACGAAACGTCCATCCGGTCAGACGCAGTACCGCTCTTCCAGTGCATGTCTCGGCTCCAGCGTCTCGTTATAGCGTGTGTTGAACCCTTTGACTTGCTTCCCAACGTACCAGCAGCCAACCTCCCCCCTTTGCCCGCCACCGAACTCCGGCCATTTCAGCCGTTTCAGAGCTTGAGGGAGCTGCATGTGAGCCGCGTGACCGACTCTATTCTGCAGCAGGTTGGGGTGCTGACGACCCTTGAGGTCTTCTCCTGCACGTGCAGCAAGGGGGTGAGTTCTAGCAGATGGATGCACCTCAGGGGACTGGTGAGCCTGAAGAGGCTGCAACTGGCGCCAAGAATCATTCTCAAGAACCTGGGATCAAACGACCGCCACTTCGGAGAATACTTCCTGCACCACCACTTGGGCCCCAAGCTACACTTGCACGAATTCCGCCTGCCACACATCATCAGAACCTTCCAACGGCCTCCCAAGAAAGGGGCCGCCGCTGCAAGTGAAGACCCCGGCAACCGCATCGACGGGAGCATATGGGAGGTGGTGGGTGCCCTTCTGGGACTGCAGCACCTGGAGGTGCACGCAGCCGAGCCCAGCAGCACAGCAGTGAGATCTGTGTCCAACATGGGGCAGCTCAAGACCCTCCGCATCACCGGCACTCTGCTTGACGATTCTGACGTGCTGGCCTTGAGGGGGCCTCTCGCTGCTCACCGACCTCAGCCTGGCTGCCTGCACGTTCGCAGCAGACCGGGCTGTGAGGTTGGTGATCCAAGGCATGACTCAGCTTCAGTCGCTGGACCTGTCGGGAACGGCCATCAGCCAAGGCGCTGCTGTGCATCTGCGAGCACTTAAGCGGCTGGAGCGGTTGAAGCTGCAGCAGTGCAGCGGCATGAGCAGGCTGTTTGTGGAGCATCTCAGTTGTGTTTCTGCGCTGAGGGAGCTGGATCTGGGCTGCAACAACATGCAGCATGCTTGGCTGCTGCCAGTCCTGGAAGGGAAGAAGGTGACCCAGCTTAGGGTAGGGGGCTGCGGGTTTGTGGAGAGAACGTTGCATGGGCTTCCACGGGCTTGGATCGAGATTGACTCAGAATGGGATGATGATTGATGCGGGGATGCATCCATCGTATGGGTTCTTCGGCATGGATTGAATTGTGAGGTTCGTTAGTGGAACCTTAAGACCGCACACAAACTGCTGTGGTGCTAGGGGGGTTTTGTTCTGTTCTTCACAGCTATGTAATGTACTGTAATCCCCCGTACATCAGACCCGTAAGTATTAAGCACCATGAAGATTGAAACAGTGAATATTACACGAAGACTATATTGTCCAGTGTGTGCGCATGTGCTTGTGGGGGTGACTTCTTTGTCAGAAAACAAGGTTAAGCACTCAATCTCTCAATATCAGCCCACAGTTGCGTCAAGCAAGCAACCCATCAATCGATCGGCCCCTCGGACCACAAGCTGCTGTCAAACAACCCCATGGTGCTGTTCTCCCCACCACCACCAACGAACGCCCTCTCCCTCTCCACTCGCGGGCTGGCTTGGGAATCATCAGGCCCGTCATCAGTGCAGTACTGGGCCAGCAGGCCGTGCAGGCGGCGGGCAACCTCGCGCATGGAGGGGCGACGGGAGGCGGGCATCTTGAGGCAGTCGAGCGCCACGTCTGCGAAATCAACGATGGCTTCATCTGGCGCTTCCAGCGTGGGGTCCTTGAGGACTCCCAGCTCGTACTGCTGGACCTGCTTGGATGCCTGCAGCACGGGAGAAAAGGTTAGAACAAGAGGGTGGAATCACAAGGAGGGTGGAGCAACCAAGTGAGGTGGTAGTTGTTCAGGTGACTGGAATCACGAGGGACGAAAAAAGAAGCAAAGGGAGGTCACCGAGGAAAGAGTAATAGCTGAGAGGGCCAGCCTGCATTCCACTGTGCATTGCATCCCAACATTTGACCCACTGAGATGGCTGCTTGCATGCGTGGCTCACCCAGTCGCTGATGTGGCTGTCGGTGCCCTCCACTGCTGGCTTGCGCCCCGTCAGCAGCTCAAGAAGCACCACCCCGAAGCTGCACAGAGCAGAGCAGGCGAGGGCATGAAGGAGATGCCAAAGACGGTAGCAACACAAGGCTGTGGCGTGGCTCTGGATAGTCCACATGTCTTAAATACGACAGTTGGAATAGATGGGGAAACGAGAGCAGCTGGTCTAGCCGTTCGGATACGAGATAATTCTTTTGAGACCCTAACAGACCCTTGCAATGGGTGTACCTGTAGACATCACTCTTCTCCGACACCACGTGCGTACGGTTGTAGTCCGGATCCAGGTACCCCGGGGTGCCTGCCACGCGCGTGCGCTCGTCGCCGCCGTCAGCGTGGCTGAGCAGTTTGAGCAGCCCAAAGTCGGCGATCTTGGCGCGGCTGTGAGGGCTCACGAGGATGTTCCCCGGCTTGAGGTCGCGGTGAATGATGGGCACCGCGAAGCTGTGCAGGTACGCCACCCCCTCCGCTGCCCCTGCTGCTAGTTTCAGCCTCTGCTGCAAGGTCAGTGGGGCTGCGGAGGGGAGGGGAGGGTTGGACAAGAGAGAGACGGAGATGAGAGTGAGAAAAGAGTGGGGGGAGCGATCAGGGGGGGAAGTAAGGGAGCAGTTTGAGCAGCCCAAAATCGGCGATCTTGGCGCGGCTGTGCTCCCCCACAAGGATGTTGCCGGGCTTGAGGTCGCGGTGGATGATGGGCACCGCGAAGCTGTGCAGGTACGCCACTCCCTCCGCTGCGCCTGCTGCTAGCTTCAACCTCTGGTGCAGGGAGAGAGGGGCTGGGGATGAGAGGGAAGGGTTGGGAGAGGGAGAGGCAAGAGTGAGAGGGGAAGGGGGTAAGCGATACATGGGAAAGTAAGGGGGGATTTTGAGCACACATAGGGGATTGGGCGTGAGGGGGAGAAGGAAGAAAGTTTAGTTGTGCTGCAATGCAAGGGCAACAAGGCCAGGGGGGAGCGTGAAGAGGAGGTGAAGAAGAGCTTGTGCCGCACAAGGTGGTTTGAGACAACAAGGCAACAGAACGTGGAAAGGAGTTGCTGTAGGGGGTATGAGGGACATGGTACGAGCGGCATGGTACGAGCGGCATGGTACGAGCGGCATGGTACGAGCGGCATGGCACGAGCGGCACTCACACTTGGAGTGGTGAATGTGGAGCTTGAGGTCCCCATGGGGCACATACTCGTACACCAGCACCTGCTCCTGCCGCCCGCTCTCCACACTCTGGTGCAGGCAGAAGCCCAGCAGCCGCACCACGTTCTCATGCCTCAGCGATGCCATCGCCCGCACCTGCCACGCACAGGAGCAGGGGGGGAAGGTGAAGGTTACTTCTACCATGTTGCAGTGCTCTGGATGAGGTTGACTTGGATGAGAAGCGGGCATTGCTGAAGGGCACAGGCTAATCCAGGAGAAAAAAAAGGTACACCAAAATACAGGACAGCCTAGTTGAAGTAACATGAAAGGAGGAAGTAGAACAAAACCTGTTGCCTGTTAACGCCGAAACAGCAACAGAGGAAGCATGGATAGAAGCATGTTCCCTGTTAAGTTGGAGGAGTTTCAACTGCAGCATGAATTCCCCTGTGTTGACCAACTCCGCAAGCCCATCCCTCTCACCTCATTCTCAAAGTCGTTGGACATGAGGCTGATGCGCTTGACGGCCCACAGCTCGCCAGTGGGTGACACGCCCTTGTAGACCGTGGCGAAGCCCCCCTTCCCCAGCACGTTGCCGCTCGCCCAGTTGTCCGTGGCACGTAGAATGTCAGCCATGCTGAACTCGCGACACACGTCCAGGCCAGCCCACCTCCCTGGCAGGTGGAGCAACGTAAGGGACAATGATTGAGGCGCCTCAGAAGACGTCCAGGCCGCTCCACCTCATTTGCGAATGGAGCAACGTAACGTAAGGGACAAGAATAGAGACAGAAGGAGAGAGGAGCATGTATGCCATGCTGAACTCTTGACACACATCCAGGGCAGGCCACCTCCCTGGCGGACAAACTACGGCGTGGATACGAACGAATATGAGAGAGAATGCGAGAGATCACGAGGCAAAGCATGCGAGAAAAAATGAGAGACACCATCACAGACCAAGAGAATGAAAGACTGGGCGAGTGAAAGAACCGGAGACATCACGAGGAGGGAGGGAAGGGAGGAGGGAGGAAGGGACAGGGGGGGGGGGAGAGACGGGGGGAGCAAGGGGAAATGGGAGCAAGAGCAAGTGGGAGGAAGGGAAATTGGGCGCAGGAAAAGGGGAAGGGAAAGTGGAAGGAAGGGACAGTGGAAGGAAGGGACAGTGGGAGGAAGGGACAGTGGGAGGAAGGGACAGTGGGAGGAAGGGACAGTGGGAGGAAGGGACAGTGGGAGGAAGGGACAGTGGGAGGAAGGGACAGTGGGAGGAAGGGACAGTGGGAGGAAGGGACAGTGGGAGGAAGGGACAGTGGGAGGAAGGGACAGTGGGAGGAAGGGACAGTGGGAGGAAGGGACAGTGGGAGGAAGGGACAGTGGGAGGAAGGGACAGTGGGAGGAAGGGACAGTGGGAGGAAGGGACAGTGGGAGGAAGGGACAGTGGGAGGTAGGGACAGTGGGAGGAAGGGACAGTGGGAGGAAGGGACAGTGGGAGGAAGGGACAGTGGGAGGAAGGGACAGTGGGAGGAAGGGACAGTGGGAGGAAGGGACAGTGGGAGGAAAGGAAGGGACAGTGGGAGGAAGGGACAGTGGGAGGAAGGGACAGTGGGAGGAAGGGACAGTGGGAGGAAGGGACAGTGGGAGGAAGGGACAGTGGGAGGAAGGGACAGTGGGAGGAAGGGACAGTGGAGGAAGGGACAGTGGGAGGAAGGGACAGTGGGAGGAAGGGACAGTGGGAGGAAGGGACAGTGGGAGGAAGGGACAGTGGAGGAAGGGACAGTGGGAGGAAGGGACAGTGGGAGGAAGGGACAGTGGGAGGAAGGGACAGTGGGAGGAAGGGACAGTGGGAGGAAGGGACAGTGGGAGGAAGGGACAGTGGGAGGAAGGGACAGTGGGAGGAAGGGACAGTGGGAGGAAGGGACAGTGGGAGGAAGGGACAGTGGGAGGAAGGGACAGTGGAGGAAGGGACAGTGGGAGGAAGGGACAGTGGGAGGAAGGGACAGTGGGAGGAAGGGACAGTGGGAGGAAGGGACAGTGGGAGGAAGGGACAGTGGGAGGAAGGGACAGTGGGAGGAAGGGACAGTGGGAGGAAGGGACAGTGGGAGGAAGGGACAGTGGGAGGAAGGGACAGTGGGAGGAAGGGACAGTGGGAGGAAGGGACAGTGGGAGGAAGGGACAGTGGGAGGAAGGGACAGTGGGAGGAAGGGACAGTGGGAGGAAGGGACAGTGGGAGGAAGGGACAGTGGGAGGAAGGGACAGTGGGAGGAAGGGACAGTGGAAGGAAGGGACAGTGGGAGGAAGGGACAGTGGGAGGAAGGGACAGTGGGAGGAAGGGACAGTGGGAGGAAGGGACAGTGGGAGGAAGGGACAGTGGGAGCAAGGGACAGTGGGAGGAAGGGACAGTGGGAGGAAGGGACAGTGGGAGGAAGGGACAGTGGGAGGAAGGGAAAGTGGGAGGAAGGGACAGTGGGAGGAAGGCCGAATAAAACGGAGAATCGAACGAAAGGTCATTAAGAGAAAGTGGAAGGGACTGACTGCGCTGTTTGGGCCAGATCACGACGACAATGAGAGCGAGGAGGAGGGCAAGAGCAGCAGCAGAGCCCACGGCGATGCCCACCAGTGCGCCGGTGGAGAGCGCTGGAGGGGATGGGATGGGAAGGGCAGAAGTTACAACGGAGGGTCGAGTCAAGAATGTGGGGGGGATTTGCATGTACAGAAGATGGAGAGGGCGAGAAGGAGACCTTTTGTGCGTGAGGGTTGCTCTTTGTAGGTCCTATCCTGTCCATCCCAGCCCGAGAAACATGTGGTTGAGGTGATATGGTTCCAGCATCCTGAACATCACCTCCCACAAAGCCAAATTCACTGTGCTGTGCCCTATAGAGCCACGAGCACTCTGCAAGGCTCATAAGCCAGCGGAGGGTGATCATACATACACATACAAGCACTCTGCCAGACACATACATACATGAGGACGGGGGCAGGGGCGGGCGAGCACACGTGGGACCAGAGCTGCCATTGACCGCCACGTACCCGTCCTCGCACTCACACACGAACCCCTCCCCCGGCCCCGTTGCCTGCACCGGCACACATGCCCCGTGCCCGTCGCATGTCCCCAGATCCTCCGACAGGCTGCAGAAGCCACGGCACTCCGCAGCGCTGCGCTGTGTCTCATTCGCCGTGCAGCTCTGCTGCTCGCCCACACTGAAGCAGTTGTCCCGAAGGCTCGCTTGGCCTTGCTTGTTGGCAGCTGAGCGTTCGAAGTCAAGAGTTGTAAAATCATTGAGTACACAGCGCCCACTTCCACCATTCGTGAGGCTAACCAAATCCAAAGCACGGGTTTGGTTGATTTCCGAGGGGCAGAACTGGCAGCCGTCGGCGAAGAGCATGGGCTGACCGTAGAAGTAGTTGAGTGCAATATTAAGCAGCGCACCACTGTTCGGAATCATGCCACGGAAGTTGGTGTGCATTGGGCCGTAGAAGCTGTTGTTGCTGATGTCACTGGGGATGGTGGCGTAAGGGATGGGGAATGACACAAGAGTGAGGTATGTGTTTGGCATGTTTGACCCTCTGCCATGCTGGTTTCGAGCGGAACAGCTCAAGGTTCCAGCCAGCAGGGCTGCTGTGAACGAAAACATTCCAACAACATCACACGAACACAAGGATAGAGACGTCTCAAAACTACATTCCAAGAGCATCACACGAACACAAGGATTGAGACGTCTCAAAACTACATTCCAAGAGCATCACACGAACACAAGGAAAGCACAAACATTCAAGCGCCATGCGGTACAAGCAGTGCTCACATGCGGTGCAAGCAGTGCTGATAAACTTTTGAGACGTCTCAAAAGTCGTCTACTTACACGCGGATTTTATACAAAGGGTTGTTTTGTTGCTTGGAAAACTGGTTGTAACCTGCAAATGTTACTGGTTCGCGCGAGGCTCCTTGAGCACCAGCTGGCGGATTGTGCTACTTCAACGTTACGCCACGAGGAATGAAGACCCCGAAGACTTGGACTTTTCTAGGTCGTCAGGGATTGGCCAACCAGATTTCTGGCCACGGTTGCAACAACCTGGAATTTTGTTTTCCGAGACGTAGTGTTTGCCCAAATGCTTCGTCTTCCTCATTCTCTTTCATTTCCACTTGCACTGATGAAGGTGTGATTGGGGCCTGTCCCGTCACCCGAAACTAGTTTGCCTCGTTTTAATATCTTAGTGGAATTTTGAGTCGGATTTCTTGAAACTCCTTGTTTTTAGCAGGAAATACAACAGTTCGCACTGTTAATCCTTTGCTAAAGTTTTTTTTAGACTGCTGCTCGCCTAATCATATGGCTGAAGGTACTTGGGGTCTCCCAACTCCTACGGGCGATGCCGGTCTGGAAGATTTGAGTCTTGCACTAATTCCTCGTGGGGCGGATCTCACCTCCAAGACTTACGCAGGTTACCGCAAGCGTACCCGTACAACTGGGGGTGGAGAGAATTCTGCAGAACCCGTGGGGATCACGAACAAGACAAGCAAACGGGAAATCATCCCCCCGCTGCTGCGATGGAAATTTCGAATGACGAGCCGGCGACGACTAACTCTCCCGCTGTTGCTGTCAACCCGACATCCGTCCAAGATACGCCCGTCGTCATTCCGGAGCCTTTTGAAGGCTGGGCTTTGAAGGCTGTCAGGGATTTTCGAAAGGACTTCAAGGCGCTCCTCAAGGCGAGGTCGAAATTGAAGAAGATGAAGACGCTCAACGAGCAGGGTGTGATTCTGCATAGTATTCGCACGAAAGCTGTTGAGTTTCAGACCAAGTACCCTCAGACGCGGGAAAAGTCTGCTGCATCGGTCGCGTCGGTTCATCACGAGAATCAGATGCGCATTCAACAAGACTTCATAGGAGCTGGATGTTGAAGAGATCCTGGCGGCGTCCTCTTCGCACCTTACCGCTTTGGCGACTAAGACCGAAGACTACATCAAAAGCCTTACCACGGACCCCGAGCTCACCGTTTCTGACGCGGCGAAGGAGCGATTCCGGAAGATCAAGGGTCAGTGTATCGAGAAGGCTAAGTCGGAGGTGTCTAACGCCAGGGATGAGCTCGTCATCCGAGAGTTGGTAATGCAGAAGGAAAAGGAAGCCGAGGATTTGAAGAAGGCTGCTGCTGCCGAAGAGATGGAACAGATGGATACGGATTCGGCAATCGGCGAGCTGATTCGGAAAGCTACAAAGGAGTACGGCGAGACGCTACGCAAGGAGATCACAGCGAGCGTTGAGGCGAAACTCACTGCTAAGTTCAAGAAGAACTTGTCGATGGGACCACAGGATCCCAAGCCGGCCCCTGCGTCCACGAAGCCCAAGGCGGACCCGTCCAAGGACCAGAAATTTTCTGGCGCCAAGGCAGATGTACCGAAGGCTACAAGGAAACGCGGGAAAGCCAAGAAGAAAGTGAAATCTCAAGGCGGCGGCGGAGGGAAGGGCCAAGAAGCATCCTCGACCAAGGCCCAAGTTCCAAAAAACGGCGGCAGCGGCCCAGGAAAAGGGCCGCGCAAGAACTAACGATAAGGGATCTGGCGCTCCAGCGATTCGGACGACGGACCCTACGGCAGGCGCAGTCACGCGTTCGGAATCGTGGAGTACATAACCTGAGTACTAAGGTTTTGTCTCGCGACGAGACCTTGGCGCTTGGGATGGGTCTCAAATTTATACCTACGCCTCCATGGAACTTTTCTATCGCTGCAGATGTCGATCAACTGCACCGACGGATCTCCCTCGATTTCTTCTTCAAGGACAAAGGGTCGTCGTCCTCATCCCGTTTCCGGGTGAGGAATTCTAACTGGCGGCCCGAAGGGGACGTGGTCCCGGAGCAGGTCTTCAAGTCGGCGCAAGCCGATCTGTCTTTCCTGTTGAAGACGGTTCGTCCTCGCCGTGGGCACAATCTGTCTAGGAGTGCTCGGGAGGCGATTCGTTCCCTGTCGCTGAACCGCAACATCGTCATTAAACCCGCTGATAAGAACGTCGGCATCACAGTGATGGATCGAAGCCACTACGTCGCGCTCTGCATGGAACATCTCAGCGACGCAGATGTCTATCTTCCGGTTCGTCACGACCCGACTCTGAACGTTCTACGGCAGCTGAGTGAGCTGAAAGCGACGTGGGGACCTGCTTTTCCTGACAGCCTGTGGAAGTACTTTTTCGATAAACCACCTGGTGGATGGCGTCCAGCGGCATTCTACATCTTGCCGAAACTCTAGAAGAAAGTGCCTGTGGGACGACCGATCGCCGCCTCACATTCCTGGGTTACTACTAATGCGAGTAGATGGCTGGATTCGCAATTAAGACCGCTGGTGTTGAAGCGCGCCACCTACCTATGTGATTCCCTCTCGCTACTAACGAAGTTAGAAGCTACTGCTTTCCCGTCTAACATTCTTCTAGCTACGTACGACGTTACCTCGCTCTACCCTAGCATTTCCATCGATCGAGGGCTCGAAGCAGTCAGTAGCTTTCTGATGAGGGACCAGACGCAGCTCTCCTCACCACTCATGGCCCTGCTGGGTTGGGTCATGAGAAACTCCTTTGTTGAGTTTGACGGCCGAGTATATCATCAGGTGCGAGGGACAGCGATGGGAACTCCAGTCACAGTTTGCTTCGCCATACTCTTCATGAGCCGCCTAGATGAGCTGCTGAGGGAGAGGTGGACTGGGGTGTCACCAAGTTACCACGTCCGATATATAGACGATGGCCTGATTCTTTGGCCAGGTACGCGGGCAGATTTAGAGGAGTACCTGCGCACCTTCAACGGCTTGGATCCTAACATTAGGATCACGTGGAGCATCTCAGATCACTCGGTAGACATTCTGGGCGTGGTTTTTTCTAAAGGGCCTCGTTTTGCTGAGTGTGGTATCCTAGACTTCGGTACATTCCAGAAGCCGATGAATAGGTACCTATACCTCCCCTTCTCCTCATTTCACCTCCGACACTCTAAGGAGGGATTCATTCGTGCCGAGCTGCAACGTTACGTACTACGTTCGACATCAGCATCGACTTTCCGAACGACGAAGCATGCTTTCTTCCGGCGGCTTCGTGATCGGGGTTACCCCCCTGCTTTCTTGCGACCGATCTTCAGCAGCGTCCTTTTCGCACATCGTGCGACACTCTTCGCCAACACTCTCGCCAACCAGCTCCAGCGACAAACCTCCCCTCCCTCTGACCGTGGACCCCTAGTCCTGAAGACGACTTACACACCTGTGTCGGCTCGCCTCGGACTAGGGGTTGTTTTGAGACGTCTCAAAAGTCGTCTACTTACACGCGGATTTTATATAAAGGGTTGTTTTGTTGCTTGGAAAACTGGTTGTAACCTGCAAAGGTTACTGGTTCGCGCGAGGCTCCTTGAGCACCAGCTGGCGGATTGTGCTACTTCAACGTTACGCCACGAGGAATGAAGACCCCAAAGACTTGGACTTTTCTAGGTCGTCAGGGATTGGCCAACCAGATTTCTGACCACGGTTGCAACAATCTGGAATTTTGTTTTACGAGACGTAGTGTTTGCCCAAATGCTTTGTCTTCCTCATTCTCCTTCATTTCCACTTGCACTGATGAAGGTGTGATTGGGGCCTTTTCCGTCACCCGAAACTAGTTTGCCTCGTTTTAATCTTTTAGTGGAATTTTGAGTCGGATTTCTTGAAACTCCTTGTTTTTAGCAGGAAATACAACAGTTCGTACTGTTAATCCTTTGCTAAAGAATTCTTTTAGACTGCTGCTCGCCTAATCATATGGCTGAAGGTGCAAGCAGTGCTCACATGCGGTGCAAGCAGTGTTGATAAAGACACGAGGGGAACTCTCCGTAGAAGCGGTTGTTATGGAGGAACCTGAAGAGGGGTGGGAAGCGGTTGCTATGGAGGAATCTGAGGGGGGTATGACAATTGACGGGACGCTCTTGAAACTGCAACGCGGAATTGAGCCATGGTGATGTAAGACCGCGAAGTGGTTTAACCACTCCCCCAAAGTACTCTGAGCTGCTTGAAAACCAAAAGCATCCTTTTCCTGAGCCAATTAGAAAACACGCAATATAAACAGTTTGCTGTGCGGCTTACATGCATGGTATGCATCTGTGTGAGGTTTACATGGTATGCATCTGTGTGAGGTTTACATGGTATGCATCTGTGTGAGGTTTACATGGTATGCATCTGTGTGAGGTTTACATGGTATGCATCTGTGTGAGGTTTACATGGTATGCATCTGTGTGAGGTTTACATGGTATGCATCTGTGTGAGGTTTACATGGTATGCATCTGTGTGAGGTTTACATGGTATGCATCTGTGTGAGGTTGCAAATGGAGGGCGGTAGCTTGCCCGTGAGCTGGTTGTCATTAACCAACCTGCCCCCATGCATGCAGCAGCAGTCATTTCATGTTGATGGGTTGAGAGGAGGTAGAAAGGTAAACATTCAACGCCCTCTCCAAGGGCACAGGAGCAAAGCATCAGTCAATGAGTGATCACATGTGAGCAAAACCCTCGCACGAGCATTGCTGGCATGGACACTCATGGTAGCACAGCACACCAGCTTTGGAGCATGGCATGAGTGGCATGAGTGGCATGAGTGGCATGAGTGGCATGAGTGGCATGAGTGGCATGAGTGGCATGAGTGGCATGAGTGGCATGAGTGGCATGAGTGGCATGAGTGGCATGAGTGGCATGAGTGGCATGAGTGGCATGAGTGGCATGAGTGGCATGAGTGGCATGAGTGGCATGAGTGGCATGAGTGGCATGAGTGGCATGAGTGGCATGAGTGGCATGAGTGGCATCGAGTGGGCATGAGTGGCATGAGTGGCATGAGTGGCATGAGTGGCATGAGTGGCATGAGTGGCATGAGTGGCATGAGTGGGCATGAGTGGCATGAGTGGCATGAGTGGCATGAGTGGCATGAGTGGCATGAGTGGCATGAGTGGCATGAGTGGCATGAGTGGCATGAGTGGCATGAGTGGCATGAGTGGCATGAGTGGCATGAGTGGCATGAGTGGCATGAGTGGCATGAGTGGCATGAGTGGCATGAGTGGCATGAGTTGGCATGAGTGGCATGAGTGGCATGAGTGGCATGAGTGGCATGAGTGGCATGAGTGGCATGAGTGGCATGAGTGGCATGAGTGGCATGAGTGGCATGAGTGGCATGAGTGGCATGAGTGGCATGAGTGGCATGAGTGGCATGAGTGGCATGAGTGCGCATGAGTGGCATGAGTGGCATGAGTGGCATGAGTGGCATGAGTGGCATGAGTGGCATGAGTGGCATGAGTGGCATGAGTGGCATGAGTGGCATGAGTGGCATGAGTGGCATGAGTGGCATGAGTGGCATGGCATGAATGGCGCTCATGGTTTCTAAACGGAGAGACAGCATGTGCCTGAGATTGAAGATGATATTACAGATACAGGTGTAGTCTTACAAATATATCTCCATGTGATACAAAAGGAAAGATTGAAAACCCATTCTACTAGATTGTATCATTCAAAAGGCTCAGATCATAAAAGAGTGTCAGATCGTACAAGAGGATCAGATCATACAAGAGGGTCAAATCAAACAAGAGGGTCAAATCATACAAGAGGCTCAGGCCTGCAGTAGACAATCTCCTGGGTAGACTTCCACTCAGACTGTTGTACTCCAGATTCGTGTTCGTCCAGTGGATGACGCGAACACTAAAGTGTTCGCGTCAAATTTGGCCGCGACCAAATTTAGGTCGCGGCCAAGTTGAGTTTGAGCTCATTTTTTGAGCTCAAACTCAACACATCTTTGTTGGTTAGCCCTCCCTTCCTCACCCACCATAGGCTTCATCCCTAAGAGCCACCACACACCGTTCCCTAATTATTACACGAACATTTCAACTAAGTAGTTCGTAGTAGTGAAGGGTAATTTCAGAAATCGCGAGGGGTTAGTTCGTAGTAGCTACGGGATCAATTTCGTAGAGGCTAATTCCGTAGTTGTAGGGGCGGCATTTCTCCGTGCCACACGTAACTAGGAGTTCAATTAGGACCGTGCTATCCGTGGCTTGCGACCGTTCCTTTGGGGTTTTAGGGTTTTAAGGCCGAGGGCTGATTTATGGCTTCCAGCCAACATGGATCTGTAGAACGAGGTGCACGCAGCGCTCAGGGCGGTACACCAGGTTCTCCACCACGACCTATGTAGGGGCGAGTAGGGGATGGACCTGCAGGAGCCGGCGCTTGTTTCGTCGGGGGGTTTCTTTCCGTAGCGGCGCCGACGTCCCGTCACTCGTTCCGTTACTCAGGCCCGCGACCCCCTCCTTCTGGGCAGACGCAGCCGGAGAGTGGCAGTGGGGAGGAGGATGAGGAGGAGGAGGGTGAGGGCGAGGAGGATGAGGACGATGAGGGGAGCGGGGATGACAGTGAGGCCGGGTGGGATCCCGAGACGCATGGCGGTGGGAAAGGGGGGGATGATGAGGAGGACCATGAGATGGATGGGTTGGAGCCAGAGGAGGTGGAGGAGGGGGTGGGAGAGGGTGGTGAAGGGGCGGCGACAGAGGCGGCCTCACAGCATGTGGCTGAAGGAGGAGGGAGCGTGGGGGTTAAGGTGGGGAGAAAGCGGGCATCCATTAGGATGCCGAAGCGGAGGAAGAGGGCGAGCAAGTTGAGGGAGCGAGCATATCCCTGCACATTCACTGGGAAGCCCTTGGGCGAGGGTGTGGTCGCTCCGGAGTTCCTAGACGAGGACGGAGGGTCCGAGAGTAGTAAGGGGACTGGCAAGGGTAATAAAAAACCGGGGTGGCAAGTACAGATGTTCGGGCCTAAAGGTGCAGACGAGAAGCGTCAGTGCAAGATTTGCACTGACAGGATTTCGTGGAAGCAATCCACAACAACACCCGGCGAGCGGCACTTCGAGAGCTACCACACAGCGCACATGCACGTGTGGCATCACCGTTACCACACTCCGTCCGTTCACTTGCCTGGGGAGACGTTTCCTCGTGGGGGCTACAAGGGTGTGCCGGATGGCTACGTCGATGGGTGGCCGCATGCCAAGTCTTGGCCGCATCTCGCAAAGAAGAAAGGGACGGCGTCCGGTGGAGCTGAGGGGTCAGGCGGGATGGAGCGGTTCATGACAACCAAGCTGTCCACGGAGGAGCTACGGCAGGCGATCGCCAAGCTGGTGGTCACCTGCGACCTCCCCTTCCGCATCGTCGAGTCCGAGGCCGTGAGTGTCCCATGCCTGGTGTTTTGGCAGTATGTGGTTGACTATTTCATACTTCTATTTTAATCCACCATTCACATGTCCACCATTCACTCACATGTCCACCACTCACATGTCCATCATTCACATGTCCATCATTCACATGTCCACCATTCACATATCCACCATTCACATGTCCACCATTCGGATATCCACCATTCACAGTTGTCTCTACTCTACCCTCCTCCAGTTTCGGGAGCTATTGATCCTGCTAAACCGCAACTGCGCACAGAAGAACTTCATCCCCTCGCGGTGGACGGTATCCCGCGACACTGTGGTTTATGCAACAGCAGCTCTCCAGTCCGCCATTGCGGAGATGCTGGCGAAGGAGGGGGAGTTGGGGTGCAAGGTGTCGATCACCATCGACATGTGGACGGCACCCAACAACAAGGCATGGCTAGTGGTGACAGGTCACTGGATAGACGAGAACTTCCAGCTGCGCACAATGGTGCTTGAGTTCCGTGAGATGCTCGGGCGGCATGGGGGCAGGGAGATGGCGCAGGTGGTTGAGGAGACGATTGTGCAGTGGGGGTTGGAGGGGCGTTGTCTTGGTTTCACGACAGACAACGCCTCTAACAACATTGCCGCCTTCAGGCGGATGTCGGAGGAGGGTGGTGGTCAGTGCTTCTTCAGCTCGCGCATGCACTTCCGGTGAGTGTGGGAGTGTGCGTGGGTTGGGCGTGCGGGAGTGCGGGCGTGTGTTTGCCTTTGTGGGCGTGTGTTTGCCTTTGTTGGTTTTGTGGCTCGCTCTAACCATGTGTCCTCCAACTTCCCCTTATCTCTTTCCCTAATGTTTTGTTCCGTGCGCAGGTGCTTGGCACACGTGATCAACCTTGCTGTGCAGGCAGCACTGGCTGTGGATTCCATACGGAAGTTGCTGAAGATACTGAGAGAGATGGCGTCGTGGATTGGCTTCTCTCCACAGCGCTCGGGGTCTTTCTTGGGCCTTCAGCGGACCTCGCAGGCCAACCCCGCCACGCCGAAGCCGGCGTTGAAGCTGGTGCAGGACAGTCCTACGCGCTGGGGGTCGACCCACGACATGGTCGAGCGTGCGGGTGTTCTGTAGAACCCCATCACTGTCTTCTTCGCCCAGACACAGGTAACACTTGTGTTTTGTGTGGGTGTGGTGTGTTAGCACGTCTACACAATATTGTTGGTCATGCTTGTATGTTGCCGGCCGGATGCCATAATCCTCCTCCATAATCACAGTTTCCTTTCCCTCATACCTCCCCTCAAACCATTCCCTCTACCCGACAGGGCTTGTCGAAGACCGACAAGAAGAAGGTGGAGAGTTTGCGCCTGACAGACGCAGACTGGGAGACCCTGCAGGCGGTGAAGACATTCCTGAGCCCCTTCGCGAAGGTCTCCAAGGCAGCAGAGGGGGCGGCGTACCCGACTGTGTCGATGGTGGTGCCGTACTACAACGGCCTGATCGACGCCATGGAGTCGCGCCTTGCCAAGGGGCCATCTCCGACGCTGCAGCCGATGATCGTGGCGGCGCTGAGCCACTTGAAGAAGTACGCGTACATCACCAGCAACGAGTACTGGATCGCCACCTTCTTGGACCCATCCATGAAGGCGGCGTGGTTCGAGACGCGCACTGGGAGAAGCTGCATCCCGAGACCGACAGGAGGGTGAGGCCGCGTCCGGCGTCGGGCGAGGTGATCAAGCTGGTGCGCGACCGCGTGGCCGAGTACCAGGCCCGGGCTGCAGAGCTTGCTCCACGGCCGACCCCACTTGCCCCCGTTGCGGAGGAGGAGGACGGAGACGAGGAGGAGGACGACGATGACGCGCAGTTTCTTCCTAGTCGCCGACGACTTGCGGCGCGTCTGTCGGCGAGCCAGGAGGCGGGGGCGGGTGGGATGGTGCAGGATGACGAGGTTAGCAGGTACTTGTCCGAGAGGGTGCGGTGCGACGTGACAGCGCTAGAGTACTGGCGCAGTGCCACCAACATGCAGACGCTGAGGCGCATGGCCCGGGATTATCTCGCCATCCCTGCCACGTCCGCTTCGAGTGAGCGGGTGTTCTCCCTTGGTCGCAACCTCATTTCCTGGAAGCGGCACCGCCTGGCCTCTCAGAGGACGCGAGCTGTCATGATTCTCAGATCATGGTACAGTTCACACCCTGGCCAGAGGATTGGCGAGGGCCGCCGACCGAGAGGCGTCGCACCACCAGAGTTCGCCATTGAGGGCGAGGGGGCAGAGGAGGATGACGAGGAGGAGGAGGAGGAGGGTGTGGAGGCTGAAGACACAGCTGCAGCAGAGGATGCTGTTGTTGGTAGTAGCAGTGGCGCCTTAGTGTAGGAATTTGTTAGACTTTGACATTTCCCTTCACAGTATGTTATGTTGTACTATTGGGTTCATTGCATGCACACATATACACCTTGCACACATTTTGCTATCATCCTAGACCTTGAAAACTGTTTTCTGACATGTGTGACTATAGTGAATTTTCCCCTGGGCGAACACGAACATGTTCGTCTCGAACATGTTCGTGTTCGCCTGCTGAAAAAAATCGTTCGCCACCTAGGGCGAACGGCGAACATATATTTTCAGCTAAATAGTTCGCCGAACCGAACAGTGTTCGGTTCGGCAAAAGTACATGTTCGAGGGTGGGCGAACTCGAACATGTTCGGGTTCGCCCTTTGCTCATGCCTAGCACCGTGTACAATTACACTGTTACCACTGCATGGGGAAGTGTAAGAAGTAGTAGACTCAACCCAATCTAAGAAACAACCAAGCGTTCCTTAAGTCCCACAGAAAGTTGGCCCAGGAAAGCACACTTATGGAAGACATGGGGTGGATGGGGCAAGGACGACGAGAGAACAAGCGACAGGCAGGAGGAAGCAGTGGCAGCGAGCATATGGCCCTCAAGCCCTCAAGCTCTCCCTCACAGTTCGACTAGTGGGAGTGAGTAGAGTGCCACGGGGGCTTCACCGTGAAAGTTATTTGGACCAAGTGTCCTGTTGCAGAAAAGCAGAGAGGGAGGAATGTGGGTGAGGTGGGGAGTAACTTGGCGACTTCTCTTAGCACCTGCTGGGCAGTTGCAGAACGGTCAGCCGTGCAACATGCACGAGAATTTGTGCTGTGGTGTAGCCACTCATGTGTATGTGTGCAAGCACTCATGACATGAGGTAGTTCCCCAATGTGTTGGTTGCATACAATACATACAGCAATGCACCCCCAGACGGGGCTAGATTTAACTCTGTTTTCACATGTCCCCTCGTCACAGTGCCACTCATTTAGAGATGTCACGAACTACCATACCATGCATGCATCCCAACTTGTGCTGCCCAACAAATCAATGTCTAGGAGTATTTACCAATCAGCACAGGCGATTGCCTCACATGTTCATGGCAGGCTCATTATATGTGAGTTTCTCATAAGAACTAAAGGGCATCGACTGCAAGTGGGACAGAAGACCTTAATGTGGTTGTCATTGGAACTTGGATGGATAAACCAGTGACAAATGATTGTAATGAGGAGACTCCAAGACTCCACACAGACAGGTTCAGTTGGAATTACGACACTATTGTACACCCAACAAAGCTGTGTACATCCACACTACACTACTACACTGGCCTGGAAAACTATATAATTGCTTCCTACCATTCTTACTGCTTCATTAGACTAGGGCAGGCAGATACACACCACAACACAACTGATATAAGGGTACAAATATAGTAAGGCAGCACAAGTGATATAAGGGTACAAATATAGTAAGGCAGCACAACTGATATAAGGGTACAAATATAGTAAGGCAGCACAACTGATATAAGGGTACAAATATAGTAAGGCAGCACAAGTGATATAAGGGTACAAATATAGTAAGGCAGCACAACTGATATAAGGGTACAAATATAGTAAGGCAGCACAACTGATATAAGGGTACAAATATAGTAAGGCAGCACAACTGATATAAGGGTACAAATATAGTAAGGCAGCACAACTTATATAAGGGTACAAATATAGTAAGGCAGCACAACTGAAAACTTGTCACCATCCTTACTCACTTACGTACCTGCTTATCTTGACACAGCCCTCTCGACACTTACCGCCTTCCCTCGTGTGTGAACAGTAGTGGCAAATCGTAGACGTAGAGCTGAGCTTGCGTTGAGCTGGTGAAGCAAGTGGACTCACAGATACATCATGTTTGTCAGTCGTGATATCTCATGGGGAATCGTTCCCTCAAACGCGTTCCGACCAATGTCTCTGCAAAAAAGCATACACCCGTGTGTGCACCCATGCGGCTAGTGAGATAGTTGCTGCATCGTGAGCAGTTGAGTTTGGCCAACGGAACCGAGCATCCAAAGACTAGCGAGTCCGTACGTCGGATTAGCACTACGGTTTCACAGCTACAGAGGAAACGCCAGAGGAGATGGTTATTTCTCAATAAAGTGTGCGCGTGCGCGTGCGCGTGGGCGTGGGCGTGGGCGTGGGCGTGGGCGTGGGCGTGGGCGTGGGCGTGGGCGTGCGCGTGCGCGTGCGCGTGCGCGTGCGCGTGCGCGTGGGCGTGTGCGTGGGCGTGGGCGTGGGCGTGGGCGTGGGCGTGGGCGTGGGCGTGGGCGTGGGCGTGGGCGTGGGCGTGGGCGTGGGCGTGGGCGTGGGCGTGGGCGTGCGCGTGCGCGTGCGCGTGCGCGTGCGCGTGCGCGTGCGCGTGGGCGTGGGCGTGCGTGCGTGCGTGCGTGCGTGCGTGCGTGCGTGCGTGCGTGCGTGCGTGCGGGCGTGCGGGCGTGCGTGCGTGCGTGCGTGCGTGCGTGCGTGCGTGCGTGGGTGTGCGTGCGTGTGCGTGTGTGTGTGCGTGTGTGTGTGCGTGGGTGTGTGCGTGGGTGTGTGTGTGGGTGTGTGTGTGTGTGTGTGTGTGTGTGTGTGTGTGTGTGTGTGTGTGTGTGTGTGTGTGCGTGTTTTTTTTTTTTTTTTCATCAGCAGCACCTCAGGACCCATGAGAGGCCAGCCATCCTTACCATTCTTGCAGATTGATGAGGTTCGTGAAGGAAGAAGGTACATTCCCCGTGAAGTTGTTTTGATCGAAGTTCCTTGAGGCACAACAATTCAACACATCACAAACTTCAGATGCACAAACACGAGCGAGTGCCCATGAAAGGGGAAAAACGTAGTATTGAAGCACAGCTAGCACTTTTATCCTTAAGCAAAAGGTAAGGAAAGAATTGCATCCGAGACTAATACCTATGACTTACAGAGTTGAGAGGGCAGAGAGAGTACCAATGAAGGGAGGAATGACTCCAGAGAAGCTGTTTCTTGCAATGTCACTAGGGGCAAAAAGGGGAGAATGGCACTCAGAAATTCTAGACGAGAGTGTGTTTTAATCATCCCATGCCAAGCTAGACTTATTTGGTGGGGTTAGACACACAGACGGCAACGTTACCACTGTAGTTAAGCCAGCCCATCTCTTCTCTTTGGACAGCCCCGGGCCAGCACGTCACTGTTGATGTTTCTGGGCCAGGGTCAGCCCATTCTCATGCTTACAGCAACGTCCGTAGCTTGGGTAGGTAGGTGCTTGGGTAGGTAGGTGCTTGGGTAGGTAGGTGCTTGGGTAGGTAGGTGCTTGGGTACAGTGATGTGATCACCCGAAAGATACAACCCAACAGTCAATGATTTTGGTGAGCCCCAGTCGGGTTTGCACCGCACCTATTCCCATCCCATCCATTCCCCAGCCTGCCTGGCCTCAGAGAGAGGCAAATGTGACAATGTCGGCAGCTTTAACATGTCACGTAGAAGAAATCTCTATGGTGACCCAGCCGCCCACAGCCGGCAGCTGGCATTATCCCATCAGCTCAATGGCGACAGGCTTTCCATCTGCTCGATTTGGGGGATTCTAGATATTAGCTTGTCGATTCATCCCATGGCCACCACATCTGCGCAGGCCTTGAACGGTGTATCCTTAATCCATCTTCGATAAGCAGGGACACAGCCAGTTAGGGTCGTAGACTCGTATTCTATGACGGGTTGGTCCTTCCTGTGCGACCAACAAAAGCAGTTTGCTTGGCTTGTGAACTTACCAGCAACAAGAGCACTATGGTCGGCCACTTATGGGCCAAACAAATCCCTAACAACATCCGCAACTGATAAGAATCTCTATATTTTAGCCATGTCCCTTCCTCCCTTGATCACACCACACCAGAGCCCCTCTTGGCTTGTTTGCACCAACAAGAAGCTTGAAATCCAGGTTTCAACCACCTTCACAGTCAACTTTTGAGGCGCCTCAAAAACCACCTTCACAGTCAACATCTGACTTGGCTGCTGACTGATCAACTCAATGAATAACGAAGCGTAGCGCAATCATGCAATGCAATGCATGGTGGGTCAAGTCAAGGTAAAGAATCAAACGACACACACGAGGAGCAAGAGCAAGGGAGTGCAAGCGGGAGGGTCAAGGATGTGTACAGGTAGTTGAGAGTCGTGTAGAAAACGGGCGGGATAGTGCCATCCATACTGTTGAAAGTTAAGATCCTGCATCATGGTTCAAGGACTCACGGAAAGAAGACGGTGGTTCTATGTGCATGAGGAGGTGAATGGATCACAAGAGAAGCACATGGCTACAATGAAGAAGCGGACACTAGGATGATCATGTGACCCCAATGGGATGATTATCCACTACCACACTACCCATGTCCACACGAGCAAGAAAGTGTGCCATCTATGCTTGCGTAGCCCTGCATGAGCCGGGGTAACATTTGAGTCGACTCAAAAGCCATGATAACGAGGTGACTTTTGAGTCGACTCAAAAGCCATGATAACGAGGTGACTTTTGAGTCGACTCAAAAGCCATGATAACGAGGTGACTTTTGAGTCGACTCAAAAGTGTGCCATTTACGCTTGCGTAGCCCTGCATGAGCCGGGGTTCATGGCGGGCTTGGCAGGCTCAACACGAGATTGAGGGGCACAATCTTTCCCTCCAGCTCATGAGGAGATTTTGATATAGTATTTCATATAATATAATATATCTGTGCGCAAACTATGCACTTCCCCGAAGTTTTGGGAGAAAATCAGCATTGTAGGCGAAAACCCTTTGACTTTTGAGAAAGGAACCATGAAGGGGTTAACGTAGGCTAAAATTTTGTGGCTGAAATTGACGAGCCAAAAGTGTAGTTCGACCGACCGTTGTTGCGAGCCACACTGTGGTGATTACAGCCACGGCGTATGGCTTGTCAAATAAGAGGTTCGAGAGAAGCTCAGCTCAGCCTGTTTCTGTAGCTCAGCCATGTATCTGACGTCGAGAGAGCCATTACACAACTATGTAGTTCAACAGGTGGTGGATATATCTTGTGATGATGTGGAAACAGCATACCTTGACCATCTACACATTATCTCTCTCTCCCAATACATGAGGCAAAGCAGCCACTACCTTTTGTTCCTTGCAGGATTGATAAAATCGTTTTCACTACACCAATGAAAGCCTTGCCTTGAAGATTAAAGCATTGGATGAAAACCCTGTCACTGGATGACATGAAATGGCCATGATAGCTTACAGTGTGCTCAACGTCGTTAGGCCAGAAAACGTTGACGGAATGGAGCCTTCAATCTTGTTATAGCTAAGCGATCTGTTGTCACTCAAACATACAGTTTGTGTTGGGTGAAAACATGGTGCACCACGACATAGAAAAAACCATAAGAAATTAAATAGAAAAACAAAAAAAGAGTGGGAGGCTCATTCAAATCAGATTACAAAGAGTAAGATCAGGCAACTAGTCGCAAGGAGTGTGAGTAGAATGGTAAGCGATGAGAAAGAACAAGAAGTAGCTGCCGGAACAACACATGAGGCGCACAGGTAGGTAAGATGCTTCAAGGAGGTCCAGTAGTCGGGAAGTGCTCCACTCGGCCCATTGCCTGATGCATCACTGCCACACCACTCAGGGATGGAACAGAAATACACGCTTTTGTTCACAATGGTGAGGTAAGCTACGCAGCTTGGTAAACAGTCAAAATTATGCCATTCTTCACCGTTTCCCCATCCGCTCACATGAACATGAACCATTCACAATCTTCTATTGTGAAGTGCTCCAAACGACAAAGTATTGGCCAAGCATCTCAATATCATCAATGTCATCATCTACAGTTCCACCCACCCCTACCCATGAGCAGCAGTGGCCCTGCTTGTATCTCTTTTGGAAATTCTTCTGGACCTGCCCCAGCCATATGCTCATGCCTGCTACTCGTCCTCAACCTCGCAGTGGTGTAACATCACAGTGGTGTAACATCACTATGGTGTAACAACTCACAAGTGCTCAAGGTGTGCCAGGCGCGAGAGGTCTTGTGGCATCACTCCAGTGCGCAGCTTGGCATAATGAGCCGCGTCGCTTGGAGGGGGTGAGCGGAGTGAGGAAAGCAGGATGCCAGAAAGATGAGATACGGATTTTCTGAGGCGCTCAAAAAATCGTCTCGCATCAAGTGGGTAGTGAGAGGAGAGGAGGGAAGGGGAGTGAAAAGGAAAGATGAGGAGGTGAGGGGAGAGGGGGTATGCAGTGGCAGAGCAAAAGAGATGTACCCCTGCGCAGTGTGTTCTTGAGAGGGTGTGCATGTGGGTGGGTGTTCGTGATTGTGCGCATGTTCTGCAAACACTCATCTGCTGACTGAAGGAAAGAATGTAGTACCAAGGTAATTCAAAAAAGGTAAGAGAAACGCAAGTGAATTTAAAGGATACTTAAGTTTGGAAATGAGTACTATCAGTGGCACATGCATGCGTACAGAAATCGTAGATTTGTCAAGTCCAAGGACCATCGAGGAAACACGGTCGTTAGCAGCCCGCTTACGTCCCTGAAGCATGTGAACATGAATGTACATGGGTGGGGATGGATACTAGGAGCTGACATATTTTGGTGATGCTTGGAAGGAAGAATGTATGGAAGTCCAATGGCTGGGACGAGACGAAGAGGCCTCACAGATGTGATGCTGCAAATAGATATGTGTGTGCAGTGACAGCACACGAAGTGCATCCATACAAAGGTTGACATAAAACACAGCAGAGACGCATGCAAGAAAACTGTGGACAGGTTAGATAGAAAGCAAACATGTGAACAGGGGCAGTCTGAGAGAACACAACGGCATATGAGCATGAGTAACACGTGGTAGGTAGGTGGGGTGGGATGCCATCTCCTAATGCTGTCTCACAAGGTCGAACCACAAAAGCCACTCAGCTAAGAGGACTTTAACCACCACTGCTAGCTTTCCAGCCAAAGGAATTTCCTGAACAAGCGCATAGCCACCTCGGAGGTTACGTTATTTATTATAACATGTTACAGGGTTTATTGTATGATGGCACAAGCGTTTTTCTACTGTATGATTGCAATGGCGACGAGGGGCTGGAGAATTTTTCCTTCACACCGTGCCATGCCACAAGCTCGTTTCTACAATGCATACAGAACCACTCAAACATGCCATCAATGTGAGCGAAGCACAGTGGCACTAGTCCCCCAGTGCATTCAGTGCATACTCCGATTGGAGCACAGTAGAGACTGCAAGGGAGGGAGCTTAAAGCTAAGTCCAGGGGTTTTGTGGAAGTCAGCTAAGGGCACACATGAGCAGGGTACACCGATGCATTGCTTACTCCACTCCACTCTCGGTTCGGCTCGGCTTGGCATTGCTTTGGCTCGGCCAGGCCCGTTCGGCTCAGTTCTTGACTAATGTCCGATGGGTGATGACCTAGCAATGGCAAATCAATTGATTGACTACTCTCGTCTCAACTTCTTGGTGGTACCAACATTCAACGACCTTTAGGTCCACTCAAGATGAATGAAGGTATCATGGAACTTTATGTCCACGTTGATTTCAAGTCACACTCGCTTCGGGGACCGGTCGTCTGACTGTCCACATGCAAACCTCCACTCCACATACGTAAATGTTGTTAATGTTAGCCTTCAATCTCACATTTGTACTTGTACTTTTTATATCCTAGTTTAGTGTAGTTTGCACTTTGTGTTTGGTTGGGTGTACACCCACAACCCAACCAAACCCAAATGTGATCTCCAAGCAATCTCCAACCCACCAATTGGAGGTTGCCTTGGGATTACCCCCAATTCCCTAGGATTGCCCCCGATTCTCTCCCCACCCTTACCTTGCCCATTTCTCATGTACTTAAAGAGCCTTAAGCTCATTAGTAATGCATGGATTCTAAGCTCAAGTTCTAACAAATGTGACTGTCACTTGACTCGCCTCGAGGTAGGAAGAGGCTCAAATCGGCTCGCCTCGTACTCATGTCTAGTAAGAAATAAGTGTGCGGTGAATTTTCGCTTGTATCGCCTTTTACTTGAGTGCCGACTCACAGGTGGGTGAGAGCAGTAAGGGTGCCGAGCAAAGCAGGTAGCTCGCCGGCCCAAGGGACCCGCGCGATGGTGCTGCAAGGATGGGCACATGGGGGCATGGTGTAAGGCACAGACACTAAAAAAATATATGCTGTCTGCTAACCATACAACAGGGCACATGATGATAGGGGGGTTACATCTGTCCACCCACAAAACACAACGCATGAAATATGATTTGCGGTTGTCTAACCACGCGACAAGGCAAGGCAATTTTCCTCGGTCTTACGCATGCGCACTATGCCAAGTGGAGAAGCGGCGCTCTCAACTCACAGGCTTTGCATGGCTGTGAGGGCAGTGAGGAAGGTGAGCGTTGACAGATCTCCCTCCACCCTGTACATGCCATACATCACACTGGTGCGGTGCGGTGGGGTGCGGTGCACCAACGCAACCGCCATGCAGGGGAATAGAGTGAATTGAAGAGAGGCAGGTGTTAGAAAGGGCTGGTTAGTAGCAGGAAGAATTGTGTGTTGGCCAACTGACCCGCACCACCTGGGTGTCAGCCCAATGACAAGATCAGCCAACCAACTAGACTAGCCCCAGTTTACTTGCCCACACCACGTGGGCGTCATGAGATCCCTCAGGTCGAGTCATGGTGTCAACCTCAGCAGCAATGCCAGCAGCAATGCCAGCAGAAATGCCAGCAGCTGCAGGAGAATAGCCAAAGCTTCTTCTGCACCTTGTGACAAACAATGATAGGCGATGCTAGCATGCTGTTATAGCGACACGTATATTTTTGCAGCAAACACAACCTCCTTCCAATTGACAAGCTCGCAGCACATTGCATGTGTAAGTTGCAAATCAAGCCTGTGTGTTTGGATATGCCTGTGTGCCGAGCTATTACAGTGTGGCATAGCATGCAATACGTACAGCGAGTGTAGATTGGTGAGGCTTGAGATCCATGAGAGGTCCTCCACACGCCCAGTGATGTTCTCTGCACCGATATTTCTGAGAGAAAAATCAGATGGGCATGAGCGCATATATGCGTGCATGTGTGTGCATGTGTGTGTGTGCGTGTGTGTGATACTGAATGGCAAAGTAGGCTTGAGCCTTCTCCATGCAGACCAATCTCAACCTCAACGCTCTCCTTGAGGAAGACGATTGAAATAGATGGGTAGGGGGAGGGCCGGAAGGGGGGAGGGAGAGGGGGGGAAGATGTACGGGTGGGGGTGTGGAAAGAGCACAAAACAATGTGAATCTCTGGCATTCTTCATACTAGTGAACGAGTGGAGGAGCTCCCATGGATCTCAAGCCCACCCGTACGTAAAATGGTAATTATCAGAGCTGGCGCCGTGTGACCATAGTATGGTGTGGATGGCAACGTATGGTTGGCAATGCTTGTTGCAGGCACGCACACTTTCTACTGTTGCAAAACAAAGTGATGGATGGATGGGAGTGGTAACGAGCTGCTCTAGGCTTGTGAGATAACGAGTTGTGATTGAAGAGGTTGTTGGTGATATTGTGGCCATATGCCTGGAAGCAATAGGGGTGGGTGAAATCCTGATGTGCAGGCGTGCGGGCATGCACGCATGACTGCAGCAGCCCATGGCATGGCATGGCACAGCAGTGACTGACAGGTATTTGAGTCCAGTCAGACGGCCGAGTGTGGATGGTAGGCTTCCGGAGATTGTAGTCATGTAAACATCTCTGATGGACACGGGGAGCGAACGAGTGAAGTGAATAGCACCAAAATCATGAATGGATGCCACAAGGTTGCACGGGAGAAATCAATATCATCATATCGCCATCATTGGAGCTGAGTTCTTCTTTGCAGAATAGCATTTCTTTGCCACTCCACTGAGCTCTTTTCCTGAGCTCTTCTCTTGAATGGAAAACAAAACATGTGCAACACAAGGGAGTCCAGAGGCTCACAGCAAGAGACGTACAGGTGTGAGAGAGCTGGGAGAGAGAGAATGGCAGATGGCACGGAACCAGTCACCGATGTCCACGCAAGGTCCCTAGCAGTACAGGGATTCGCATTGCACCAAGAAGAAGGTGGGTGAGGGAGGAGGCGGTTGGTCAATGAGGTATCATGTATGGACAGGTGAAGAGCGGTATATATCGCACATAACATGAAAGTTGAAGGGAAAATGGAGGCGGCTGGTGGGTGGGTGAAATACACAAGCAGGGTGATGGATGCAGGAAAGGCAGGCATGGTGTGTGAAGTGAAGTGAAGTCCCCTCATGGCTGTCAGATGGAGAAGCCATGCAGCAGACTTTTATGCTGCACAGCACACCAAAACATCCCACCCTTATCCATTCAGTCCTCAATAAGAAACCAGCTCCGCACTACCTCTATTGGGAGGAAGCAGAGAGCATACAGACAAACGATGCAAGGAACAAGACGGCTCACAAGGAGGAGTGTTGAGGGGAAGGCAGTCGTGGGGAAGGCATGTGGCGTGTGTGTGCCCCGCTTACAGCACGCGGAGGGAGGTGGGGAGGGCGAGTTGGGTGATGGATCCCTGAAGAAAGATGTTGCCGGCGAGCACACTGGATGGGAGGAGGGTGGAACGGAGAGGAGGGGGGGGGCGTGGGAGGGGGTGGGAGGAGAGTGGGAGGAGGGGTGGGAGGAGAGTGGGGGGAGGGGTGGGAGCGGGACTGAGGGTGCAGAGGAGCTGCAGATGGAGTGGAGAGCGTGGCTTGCTTGCCATTTCGCATCATGAGGTTCCGGGATGGTGTGACAATTCAGGCTGAAAGCTTGGAGCTATGAATGTATTTTCAGAGAGGGAGTGGCTCCGGGAAGAGGAAGGCAGCTGCTGCAGGGGATGAGCCACGGGCGTTTGTTTGGAAGGTTAAGGACGGCGTGTGCCAAGCCAACAAGGCTGTCCCAGCCTTGGAATGTCCTTGACATGACATAGCAAGGAGAGAAGGAGGGCTAAAGTCGCACTACGTACAGAATTAGGAAAAGACGTTGAGAGGTTAGGAAGCAGAAGGGGGGCTCAGGTGAATTTCAAGGTGCCTCAAAACTCGTCTCATTTCAGGCAGAAGGGACTCAGGTGGAGGCACGGACAGGGAAGCAGCGATGTAGTGCAGACAAACAGAGTGGGCGGCAGAGACGTACAGGCGTCGGAGGTAGGGCATGCGGGAGAAGAGGGTGAGCGGCATGGTGGCATTGACCATAGCGTAGTCGGACAAATCACTGCGGGAGGAGGGAGGGGCGTTGATGCAAAGAGGATGAAAGATGGAGGCTTTGTGAGCACGTGCATGCAAGGTTAAAAAATACGACCGTATTTTTGAGATTTTACCGTAAATTACGGAATCGTAATTTACGGTCGTAAATTACGGTAAAAAACGGTGTGACCTTACAAAATTAGGTTGGTTTAAAAATACGGTCGTAAATTACGACCGAAATTTTGAAACCGAGTTTGCGTATAGCGAATTTCGACATTTCCCAACCGTCACCCTGCTTGTGAGAATTTTCGTGCGCCCAAATCCACTCGAGTGTGTTTTTTTCCCGAGTTGGGAGTGTGGGGAGGGAGTAGGAGCAGATTTAGCCTAAAGGTAGGTACTAGGTAGGCTTAGCAATGGTAGTGGTGTTGTGGTCCATTGTAGGCTTGTTTCTCTGTAGTGTAGTTTGTTGTCGCCTTCCTGGTCATCGTTGTAAGCGTTCTAGTAGTTTCTGGAAAAAACAATTGCTGCAAAAAATGTCCAACAAAAAAACGACCGTATTTTTGACAAAACCACCGCAAATTACGACCGTAATTTACGATTACCGTATTTTTGAACCTTGCGTGCATGCATAGATGCACACAGATGTACACGCACACACAAACATAGACACACACATGCACACACAAACATAGACACACACATGCACACACACATGCACACACACATGCACACACACATGCACACACACATGCACACACACATGCACACTCGCTTCTGCCCCCTGCTAGCAGCTCCAACCGTTTCCCGAAACACCGCCTCTCTCTACCGCCTTACCACAGCGCAAACACCTCCTCCCTCAATCCTACCGCGTTGCTCTACCGCCTTGCAGCAGAGCAACAAACACCTCCTCTCTCTACCCTACCCCCATGCAGCAGAGCAACGCACAGGGATGTGATGAAGCCTTGCTGGTTGCACGTGATGTACTCCCACTCGCTGCAGCCCCGCGAGGCATTGCTCCTCCCCTCCCACACCTGCCATACCACGTTCAGCTCCACCAGTGCTTGCACTGCGACCGTGCCGCATCCGCACATGCAGACATCCGCACATGCAGACATGCGCACATGCAGACATGCGCACATGCAGACATCCGCACATGCAGACATCCGCACATGCAGACATGCGCACATGCAGACATCCGCACATGCAGACATGCGCACATGCAGACATCCGCACATGCAGACATGCGCACATGCAGACATGCCCACATGCAGACATGCACACATGCACACATGCATGCACACATGCACACATGCATGCACACATGCACACATGCATGCACACATGCGATGCACGCAAGCACCCATGCCCGCACGCACGCATGCACACACGCACACATGCAGACATGCACACTTGTGCACATGCACACATGCACCCATCCATGCACACATGCTCACATGCACACATGCAAATATGAACGCATGCAAAACATGCACCCATGCACCCATGCGCACGCACGCATGCACACACGCACACATGCGCTCATATAATGGGCGTGCATGCACCCAGCGCAACGGTCCCATGAAGTGCAAGCAGGCCAACAGTGAGGCAGAAACGATGGGCGGGAGGAGCATGCGGGGCTTGGGTGGAAACACACACAGATGCTCGGCTTGGGGGATCGTAACGTGAGAGTCACGACAACAGGGAGATAAGGGTGGTGGGGAGAGAGGCATGCAGGGGAGGGGCATTGAGGGGAGAGGCATTCAGGTAGACTGGTCTCAAGCACGCAGCGCTTGGGATGCAGCAGCGCCGCAGGGCGCAGGCGGCAGGCGGTAGCAGCGCATAGTAGAGGGAGCTGCATGGCGAAGGGTGGGAGGAGCGAGCGGGGGCGCGCTCGCCTATGCACTGCTGGCCGTGCGGCGTCTCCCGTTGCGGGCGTGCAAGAGCGCTCTCGGGAGGCTCAGAGGAGGCTTACGCTGAGTGTCCGCGAGAATTGTTCCAGCGGCGGATGCGCGCGGAGGAACAATCCCGGCGAGGCTGACGCGACGCCCGTTTCGATCGTCGTGCGACCCATGCGACCCGTGCGACCCATGCGACTTGGGCAAGTCGTCATGTTCGCGAAACGTCCGTTGCCCCTCCGCCTCACTGGCGCCGGCATGCGGCGAATGCACGAGGACTAGAAGCGCGGAGGCGAGGAAGAACGCCGCGGGGCAACGGGCGAGCAGCAGCCGCGGGCTGGCGGAAGTCGATGGCGACAGTCGCCGTGCCATGGCGTTCCCGGATGTCGCAATTTGATTGACCTCTGAAATTCAGCATTACTTCCGCCAAGAAAAGGTTTTGCTCGCCATCAAACTGCTGTGCTATGGGATGCTAAACTTCTAGAGTCCTACGAAATGTCTAAAACGAGGTTAAATATGTTAGGTTCGAGCTAGGCGAGGCCCTCGGGGTAGTGAGGCTCGGAAATCTGGCGGTTTGTGCAGTGGCGATACGGTGGTGGTTCGGGGCGAGAACATAGGCCGAACCTAGTTGACTCGATACGCTCGGAATATCCTCGCCAAGGTCTGTCTACAATTAGGGTTAACATTCCTTACACTTCCTCACACGGTACAGTACCATGTACCTGCCAAAACTGACCACTCGCCTGTAATAAGAGCTTGGCACCGTGTGCGAAAGTTCGTACCGTATGCGACGCAATGCAACGCCTACAACGTCATAAGAGGTCTGACGAACTTCCTGACGACGCTTGACCATCTTGTTACCAGCTCTCAGCCCGAACAGTTGGTGGTTCGAATTATCAAGCAGCAAAATGGTGCCGGGCCCTGATCTCCTATACTTTTCTTGGTGTCAGATCTCTGCGACGACCAAATTTTACCACTTGCCCAGGCGCCGTGTGACAGACCACTCCCTACGCCTATTTCTTCTCTCACGGTATTTCCGCGTGCCTAGGCCGCAGCGTGGGCCGTTTGCGCGCCAAGAGCATTCCCGTGATCCGATCACCACGGTCGTCATCGAGCGCCGCCTTCGCCTGCCACGCAAAGTGTGGGCGCTTGACCGCCGCGCACCTCGACACACCGGGATCGAACGCACCGCGATCGCACGCACCTCCTGCGACCTGTAGCAGCTTGTAAAACCCATTTTCCCCCTCCGCCCCTCTCCGCGCACTCGCCACTCCGCGCATTCGCCTCCCCGCACCCTCGCCTCTCCGCGCCCTCCGCCTCTCTTGTTCATCGCCTACCCCTCCTTGCCTCCCCCCCCTCCCCCTGCCCCGTTCTCTCCCACCTCTCTCTCCTCATTCGTTCTCCTACCTTCCCGCCTTTTCTTCCTCATTTCTGCTCTACTTTGTCCTCCCTCCCATCCGCCGTGAATTCTCGTCCTCCCTCCCCCTCCCTGCCCCATACAACGCTCACTTGCTTTGCAACTCTTCCCTGCCTGCCCCTCTGTGGGACCGCCCCATGCCTTCCTCCACCCGCCCCTTTCCACCCGCCCGTCCCTGCCGCCCTTTTCTTCCCCCCCCTGCCTTTCCTCCCTACTTTCCTCCCCCCCCGCTCTGCTCCTCCCCCTCACCCCCGCTCCCTCTCCCCGTTGGTTCGCCCTTCACCTGTCCGTGTCGTGGTGCCGCCTGCAGCAGCAACCTTGGTGGGGGCAGGGTCAGGGTGAGCCACGTGTCAGGGCCAGCCACGTGTCAGAGCCAGCCACGTGTCAGGGCCAGCCACGTGTCAGGACCAGCCATGTATCCATCAAGCGCCAAATCTTTTATTTTCCCTTATTATCCACTCGGTCTCCCCCACTCCCTCTCCCGCACTCCTTCTCCCCTCTCCCTCCGCCCCCTCTCACCATCGTGCCTCCAGCAAGGGAGGCAGGGCAGTGCACGGGTGGTGGGCGAGAGGTCAGTTGAACGCTGTGGTGTGGTGTGGCGCCACTCGTGGCACGGGCAGCATGCAGCCTCAGGTGCGGCACTCTGTGCTTGCGTGTATCATGCTGCTCTGGATTGCAGATGGGAAGGGGGGCAGATGGGAAGGGGGGCAGATGGGAAGGGGGGCAGATGGGAAGGGGGGCAGATGGGAAGGGGGGCAGATGGGAAGGGGGGCAGATGGGAAGGGGGGCAGATGGGAAGGGGGGCAGATGGGAAGGGGGACAGATGGGAAGGGGGGCAGATGGGAAGGGGGAGGGACAGATGGGAAGGGGGGCAGATGGGAAGGGGAAGGTGTTCGTGTTAGCCTCCAATCTCACACTTTGTACTTTGTATTTTCTATATCCTAGAGTAGTGTAGTTTGCACATTGTGTTTGGTTAGGTGTACACCTACATCCCAACCAAACCCAAATGTAATCTCCAAGCAATCTCCAACCCACCAATTGGAGATTGCCTTGGGATTACCCCCAATCCCCAGGGATTGCCTCTGATTCCCTTCCCCAACTATTCCTTACCCTTCTTGGATGTACTTAAAGAGCTTCAAGCTCATTACTAATGTATCGCTTCTAAGCCTAAGTTCTCACAGGAGGGACAGATGGGAAGGGGGGCAGATGGGAAGGGGGGCAGATGGGAAGGGGAACAGATGGGAAGGGGGACAGATGGGAAGGGGGAGGGACAGATGGGAAATGGGACAGATGGGAAGTGGGAAGGACAAATGGGAAGTGGGTGACGTCCTTATGAGTATCATTTTGCTGGCCTTGTGAACAGTCATACAGATTATGAATGCCATTCATATTGGCATGCGCATCATCTACGCCCTCCAGTCTTACACCGTCCCATCACGCCTTCAAGCATTGTCGCATCTCTCTCTCTCCGTCCATGTGAGCAGGCAGAAGGACCCAAGTACGCCCATCCGCAGGTGGTCTTCTTCACCTGCTTCTTCAAGGTCGTGTGCTCACTCGCTCCCACATGTATGCATGCGTCATGCACTCATTCATTCACACATGCATGCATGCGTCATGCACTCATTCATTCACACATGCATGCATGCGTCATGCACTCATTCATTCACACATGCATGCATGCGTCATGCACTCATTCATTCACACATGCATGCATGCGTCATGCACTCATTCATTCACACATGCATGCATGCGTCATGCACTCACACTCACTCACTCAATCACACTGCACACCACATCCTCACATCACCTGCTTCTTCAAGGTCGTGCACTCACCCGCCCACGCGCTCACACTGCATGCATACCACATGCGCACTCGCATACATGCGCTCTTACTATGCATACATGCGCTCTCACTATGCATACATGCGCTCTCACTATGCATACATGCGCTCTCACTATGCATACATGCGCTCTCACTATGCATACATGCGCTCTCACTATGCATACATGCGCTCTCACTATGCATACATGCGCTCTCACTATGCATACATGCGCTCTCACTATGCATACATGCGCTCTCACTATGCATACATGCGCTCTCACTATGCATACATGCGCTCTCACTATGCATACATGCGCTCTCACTGTGCATACATGCGCTCTCACTATGCATACATGCGCTCTCACTATGCATACATGCATACACCCACTCCACTTCCGCACATCGCATCACACCCTACACCGCCTTGCATCCAACCATTTTCCTTATCTCCACCCCTGTGCTCCCTCTTCATACCACTCCCCACCGTTCTGCTCATGTGTTTCTGTTCTGGCCAGGCACCAGCACTCGCGCATCTCAATCAACCCCACCGCACCTCCCCTCCCCCCTCCATCGCTTCCCCTCCCTGCCACCCACATGCAGCAATGCTGTCCCTTTACCTGCTGGGTAGATGGGTGGCGAATTTTGAGTCGACCCAATCCTCCACCGCCCGGCCCCTTCCTTTTTTTTTTGTTGACTCAAACCCACCCCCCCCTTTCTTTTTTTTTGACACGCACAAGCAGCAGCGCTTGGGTTCTACCTGCTGACGAATTCTGAGTCGACCCAACCACCCCCCCCCATTTCTCCCGGCAACGCACAGGCAGCAGCGCTGGGCATCTGGTTGACGAGCAGCTTCGTGATTGACTTTGCGGTGTGCGTGCTGCGCTGCTCCCTCATCTCACCCCCACAGCACCTCCCTCCCCCCTCTACCCCTTCTTCTCCCTACCACCCACAGGCAGCTGCGTTGGGCTTCTACCTGCTGGGAAGCTGGTTGACGAGCAGCTTGGTGATTGACTTCGTGGTGTGTGTGCTGCTCATTGCTCTCGACTTCCTCTTCCAACCAGGCACCAGCACTCCCTCGTCTCACCCCCACACTGCGCCCCACCCCTCTTCCCCACAGGCGGCAGCGCTGGGGTTCTACCTGCTGGGAAGCTGGTTCACGAGCAGCTTTGTGATTGACTTCGTGGTGTGCGTGCTGCTCATCGCGCTCGACTTCTGGGTGGTGAAGAATGTGAGCGGTCGCATCCTCGTGGGGCTGCGCTGGTGGAACGAGACGGATGAGGCCGGCGAGACGCTCTGGCACTTCGAGTCACTCGACCAGGCTGTGAGTGGAGTGCGGTGGGGGGTGGGGGGGGGTGGTCATCTCTCTGCTCAGGCTCCACCAGGCAGTGAGTGGAGCGTGGTGGGGAGTGGAGGGGGTGGGGGGGGGATGTTAGGGCAATGGTCCTCTCCCTCTTCTCAGGCTAGACCTGGCAGTGACGGGGCATGGTGCAGCATGTGCAAAGTCGTGGGAGGTGGTGGTGAGGCATGTTCCTTTCTCTCTGCTCATGCTCTCCCTACTTTTTACTGCCCTTTATTATGTCTTTGCTCTCTGCGCTCTACCGTCCTCTCTCCTCACTCTATGTTTCTCTCTCATCGCTCTTCCTTTCCTCCTCGTCACTCCCTCCCCACTCTTTATTTCCCTCTCCTCACGCTATCTTTCTCTCACCTCTCTCGAACTTCTTTCTTACTCTACCTTGCTCTTTCATCACTCACCCTTTTTCTATCGTCCCTCTTATCCCTTTCATCTCACTCCTCCTCTCCCCGTTTGCACCTCGCGGCAGTCGTTGGACCAGTTGAGCAAGACTGACGCATGGGTCTTTTGGTGGACACTCTATTGCACGGTACAGTAACGAGACGGTACTGCAGTAATGCGGTAACACACCCTTTACTTTGCATCATGTCGTTTTTCACGTTCATTCTAAATTCATGGCGTTCATAATTGCTTGCTCCACATTGTCGCGCTGGGCTTATCCGTCCACCACATCCTTGTCTGACTCTCAACTTATGTGATGCCATGTAGGTTCATCATGTGACTCGACATGCATTGCCTGCCTTCCTGCATGCATGCACATGAGCAGCCAGCATTATGGCTGGGGCTGGGGCTCATTCAGGTCATCCGCCTCAGCTTCGACTATCTCCTCATCATCATCGTTGCTCTCGTGCTCGGCGCCGCCAACATCTACGGCTACACCAAGTGCCGCCGAGGTTGGCCCCTCGCCGATACTCTCCCCCTTGCTCTCCCCGCCTGTGCTCTCCCCCTTGCTCTCCCCGCCTGTGCTCTCCCCCTTGCTCTCCCCGCCCATGCTCTCTCCCTTGCTCTCCCTTCTTGTGCTCTCCCCCTTGCTCTATCGTGCAGTTGCGAGTATCAATCCATTTTTCATGAGCACGTGGAAGTGGATTTCTGTGTGTTCTCCAATGCGTGTGCATAGTACGTCCTTATGCTTGTGCATGTGTATGTGTACGTGTGGTTTGTATGAACATGTGCAGATGCCAAGAAGCAGATCCAGCAGTTTGCAGCACAGACCATGGCGCAGAATTTCGCCTCCACTCTCACCTCTGCCCTCGCAGTCTGAGTACCACCACTCTGGGCCGTAACACTCTAGTAAAAAGAAAGTCCATTTGAACATGGGTTCTGCTTTGATGCATGCTTTCTTCCTCGATTATTGAAAGTCTTCTTCAAATGGATGTTGCTGGGTAAAGACCGGGCCTATCCATAAAAAAGAGGTGTACTAGTACTGACCAAGCTGCCAAAACATTTACTGCATGCCCACACTCAGATCCTACTGGATAGGATTATGGATGCCCACATTTATTCGTTTCTTTGTGAATTATCAGAAAACTGAACTAAAGAAGCATTTCACCTTCTCACTATAGCGGTATTCTCTGTTTAAAAGCATTTCGGGGCTGAAAATGCAAGCCTCCTCGAAGCGCACGGCCCTTGCGGCTCGTCAATTTCTAGAAGAGCACATTTTGAAATTTGTGCAGAGCAACTGCTCTGCAGGTTCTTGTCTCGTAAGCTCCGTCATCCATCGGAAGAAGCTGATGCTGAAAGCATTTATTCTCTTCGTCTATCTCATTCCGACAAGGTTGCGGCTAAAAAAGACGACTATTAGGGCTCCAGCATGACGGAGCGTCGTATCTTCAGTGAGCGCATGCTATGGATCCTGCCTGTCCTAGTCTACGCAACCACCGCTGCTGATTGTGCTGCTGGCGCCAGACCTTGGCCGTCAAGAATTGCCCCTGTTACCACGGTTGGAAATAGTCGCTCTCAATCGCTGTCTAGCGCCAATGCGCCTCGCGTCATCTTCTCTCCTATCTCGAGGTACGCTTCTCTGATACGGATTCCTGTTCTTTGTCCCATTCATTTCTCCTCGTTCAAATAGGCAGTACTAAATACAACAAACATACAAAAACTGATGCTAATTCGCAGTTAATCCGATATCCTGCATTTGACAGAAAGCAGACTTTCAATTACTGGAGCTATCTCCCTGGAGCCGCTCCTGCACTTCTGCGAGAGATGCAGGCGGAGATGTTTTCGACAGCAGCGGCTCTGGGGCTCGTCAGTAATGGCGAGAGGGGCAACTCTGGTAACCTGGACCTTTCACGAAACGCTCAGAGTCAGTTCAACACGGCCATGCCGTCCTTCAGTATTCCTGGGCTTAGCCTACTCGGCCGACAGCTGCTTGAGCACCATGACCATGCACAAAGTAAGTTTTATTCGTGTAAACATATAAAGCACGCATTTGGTTTGCTACCACCACAATGACGTTTTTCTTAGGTGGTCATTGTACACAAAGAACGCTCCCTTCTGGATCATCCTCCCTGCAGGAAAATTCGAGTCCCTGCGGATCGCCGCAGCCCTCCAAGTGGTCACGCGCGTGTTCCACAGCAGCAGCGGCAGCAGCCGCAAGCAGGTGGGACCAAACGCGGGCATGGGCGCGTACGCGCAGAGCGGCAACATCGGCAGCATCAACAACCAGAACACCGTCAACGACCAAACCGCGGACGCCACCAAAACCGGGCCTGGCACTCCCGGCGTCATCGCGACACCTTACTCGCAGTACCAGAAGCGAGGAGCTACGGCGTACCAGACCAACACGCAGTCGCAGACGGCGACGACCAATGGCATCACCCCCACGTACCAGTTCGGCTCCACGTCAGCGACCAGCACGATTACGGCCCTAGGCGGCGGGGGCGCCGGGTACGGCGGGGTAGGAGCTCTTGCGGGGGGTACGGGAGCGGCGCTCGGCGCGCTGAGCAGCGCAGGGGTGCCGTTTGCGACGTCGCTAATGTCGACGAATCCGACTGGTGATCCTATTGGCGAAGGGGTGAGGTGCGTGAGTCAGTTTGCCGGTGGCGGGTGCAGCGAGGAGGGGTTTCTGCCCGCAGCGCATGCGAGCGCGAGGCCCATCGAGGTGATCTCTGAGCTTGGAGCGGCAAGGGCGTAGGAAGATCGGTGTTGCGTTGAGATAGAACCGAAAACCTTATTGAGGCTGCAGGAGTGATTCAGTAGGCTGTACAGCACAATGCGGCGTTGTATGGATGGCCTTTGTAGAAATAAAAATGCGAATATACTATGATGAATCAAAACGGAAGGTCCGCTTGAGCTGTTGAGCTAATGGCACGACGAACCGCACGGATGGTCAGGACGGTTCACCGTAATCACCTCGTCGCTGTCCCCATAGCCCTCCCCAGTCGTCGCTTGCACCAGCGCCAACTGGGACCTTGCAAGGCTCGCCTCTAGTGCGGCCCTCTGCGACCGAGAAGCCACGAGCTTTCTCTGCGACTGAACGAGCTCGCCTGATAGAATGGCGACTTTCGCCTCGAGAGCTGCGATTGCTCGCCTGCTCGCAGACGCTTCATCCACAGCCGACTGCATCTTGGCGTGCAACGCCGCCGCGATATGTTGTCGCGACTGTGCAACGGAAGGCGACTGTCTTGCGACGGATGCGAAAGAGTGACTCTCGATACCATTGCAACCCCATGTTTGCTGGCTCTGCATGACAAATTGCTCCTGTGCCGCCGCTTGGTGTTGTTGCTGCGCCTCCTGCTGTTCCCGCAGCAATTGTTCCAAAAGCACACGAAATTGCGGCTGATTCATTCCCTGTCGCACGTCGACGCCACACGAAGGAGCTCGCGACGGAACGCGGGACGCAGGCGACCACTGCCACCCCATTGCCGTGTTCGCGACGTCGTTGATTGTGAGGCTTCCTTCCGACGCCATCAGCGACGACGACGACCGTCGCACGAGGTCGCTGGGCGCACACGCATAGACGGACAAAGACTGACGTAGGCTAGTAGACGCGTCGGCGCCGACCGAATCCGCCACTTCACAGCCGCAATGTCGGTCTTGAGCGGCGTTATCAAGGGTGCACTGAACGACGGGAGCGGCGTGCTTTGCTGGTGAATCTGGTGTTGGCAGGACGAAGGACGACAGATACGACTCCAGTCGCTGCCTCTTGGTCAGATTAGGCGGGCTGGCGAGCAGCGGCTCTGCAGCGATTGACGCGAGAGTGGCTGACTCGAGTAGCGCGGCCGCTCGGGTCGCTTGGGCCGCTCGGGTTGCTTGTGCCGCTTGGGCCGGTTGTATCCGCTGCTGCTGCTGCAGCTGCTGCAGGCGAGCGAGGAGGAGTCGCTGAAGCTGCTCGCGCAGAACGTCGCCGGCGGCCAAGGCAACTAAGGGGCTCGGCGAAGCCGGAGATACCTCTCGACCTCGCTTCTGACCGGAAGCAACGGCGGGGCCTGCGAGCGCCATGACCGTTGCGCTTGATTGTGCGTGGCCTACGGAGAGTTGCTTTGCAGTATCGTTAGTAGGAAGAATTGCTTCGGAGTCTCGTGTAAAGTACAAAGTCGGGTGGTTTGCGAGACATTCTTGGTGTGAGTCGACGACAATGCAGCTATTTCAACGCTAGGCTAGCGCGAACATTGCGATCTACTCGAGGCGGGGTCATGCCCTCTTTCAAGGGTTTGAGGGTGCAAGCATGCTGTATGGCTTCACAGATGCAAATTGGGCTGGGGATATCACCACCCGCAGGTCCACTGGAGGATACATCTTCATGCTTGGAGGGGCGGCCATCTCTTGGCAGTCAAAGAAGCAGAGCTGTGTGGCTCTATCATCCACGGAGGCAGAGTACATGGCTGCGACCCAAGGAGCCCGAGAAGCAGTGTGGATAAGAGGTCTTTTGAAGGAGCTTGACCTCCCACAAGAGAGCCCTACTCCCATCTTCATTGACAACACGTCGACCAAGAACCCCGTCTTCCATGGAAGGACCAAGCACATCGCGACGCAGTATCACTACGTTCGAGAGCTTGTGGAGCAGAAAATTATTGAGCCCCTGTTTTGCCGCACGAGTGAGCAACCAGTCAGCCACAGAAAGATTTAGCTGCTAGTAGCGGTGGCGGCATGGGGTGATGATGGTCCGCATTAGATTCTAGAATCAGCTTCTGGACCTGAGGTGCCAAACTCTGATGCATGGTGAGAGCGGGGACATTGGGTGTGTGGGGCCTGGCGCCTGATGCCTTGGTAAGGTTGCAACTGGTTCCTGGGTGTTTGTGTGAGCAAAGATCAAGTTTCAAGAGGTGCAGTGAAACATGGTTGGGAAGGTTGCGAGCTGGAAAGCGTGTCTTGTGTCCTCAGGGTACCAGAAACAGCTACAGTATGTCCCTCTGTTCGCGAGGCCCACCCCTACCTGTGGTTATGATGTGTAAAAACAATAAGCATCAAACCATTTACTTAGGAGTGGCAGTGGTGTGTACATTACCCTACAAACTACGTTAAAGTGTCATTTCTAGTCTATCATCTCGCTCGAAATCGCACTAGCAAAATCAGAGTTTTTTTCCCTCCGCTGAGTATAGTTCCCTCGGCATTGCTAATTGCTACTGTGGCTGTTGTGAGTGATCCAGACGAAAACGTAGGCACCAAGGGCTAGGTTCCATGTCACGCAACCGAAATGCGCAGGAGAGAAAAGCTGTTTCCGTTGACAACCTACTGAACCTCCCCTAACGATCAGTGGAGGAACGCGGAATAGCCCCTCTAATCATCCGCTGATGGCGAAATGTCCTGAGCGAGATAGCCGGAAAACAAAATCAAACCAAGACAGAACCTTTTCCCAAGATCATGAGGTTAAGAGTCAGGTTCCCTTCCCTCTGTGTTGTTCCAGCAATGGGGTTGGAGGGGTCTACGCTGGGAGGGCCCCTTTCCACGGTGCACGAATTGCAGCCCAATATCCTTTCATCCCCCCCACAGACAAACGCTAGGCTGGCTTTCCCAGAACAGCATGCAACAGAAAATGCCAGGATGAGCAGAAATATCGTCGCATTTGCAAGGGGTGTGTGCAGAATGAGCTGTCGCGGCGAGCCATTGTCGTTAACTGTCGTTTGTCCTTTCAAACCTGCCTTCGCGCCCGCCGTTTTGGTCCTATACTTCAGGTCCAAGCAGGCATGAGGATTGCAGGCCTGTCGAAGTCCCTAAGACCAAAACTTTGAGTCCTGAGCTCCTCGAATTGTGGCCCTGATTTTCACGGGCGCAAGCTGAATCTAAAACTTGAAATCCGGGTTACTTAGGAGAGTTTACTTAGCCCTATTTCTATGCAGGAGGGAGGATGTTAACCTATTACTATGCAGAAGGGAAGAGCATACCCACTACTCATCTGCACACCTACAGCCATTCATCGTAGGCAAGAACAACAGGAGGGAGGATTGGGGGGGGGGGAGTGGGTGCGGGAAACGGGAAGGGGAGGAAGGGGCAGAATTGGGGGGCGGGGGTCCTTCGAAACAGGAAACCAAAACTTGGATTCAGGGGAAGAACGAGGCCCTTAAAGCGACGGTGCACATTTGCCACCCAAAACCCAGAACCCTGGCGAACTGTTACTGCGGATGGAAAGTGTCCGCACGAAATCCTGGTTTTCGCCAGCCAGCACTTTCGCGCTGGCAAGCCTGGTTCAAAAAAAAAACTTCTGAACCCAACACTGCCAAAAGTTGCCCGTCGCTTTAACTGTCATGGGTGCCCTGCGAGTCCAGCACTTTAAACATTCGAGCTGCCCCGAACGTGGCCCGGAATGTTCAGGGCATTAAGGTAAAATTCCCTTACTTCGACAGCCCTTTGCATCATCATGGTTTCTGCTGGCTATGAACTTGATATGTGGCTTGAAGGGTTGCAACTGTCGGGTAGTTTCTGCCAGGTTGTACAGAAAAATTCCACAGTGCACAGCAAATGGGCAATGGGTGGATCCGCGGGCGACGTCGCATCTTCCAAGAGGCGACCGGGCCGACTGCCCCAAGCTGTAGATTGATGGTGTTCTGCGGGCAGGTGACTGTGTGTCCTCACCTTGAAATCTTCTTTGTTGAGTGTCCACTCGAAATCCACAAAAGTGTTACAAGAACAGAAGTTATGCATATCTCAGCATTTTCACTATTAAAAGGCTTACAAGTACAATTGGAGTAAAAGAGGACTTGACCTACGGCGAAAAAATATGCAGTTAGGGTTCTCAAAACACACAGTGGGAACCGAGGCATCGCCTGGAGTTTCCTGGCGTTATTGGTTTAATGTTCGGTAACACATACCGCACGTAAGCACATTTGCGACGTAGCATAGTACTAAGGTTGACTAAACGTGGAACGGATACCTTGCATTTAATCGCCTGGTTTTTGGGTGCTTTCTCAACATGGTTACCTTTCCTAGGGACCATGTTATTCATATTGTTTGGAATTGGATGCTTGGCCAAAAGGCAACGCTAAGAAACATGCACACATATTATACAAAACTACAGAGTTTCTTTGTGTGATGAGGACGACGGTACTAGCACTTACACAGCAGGAGAAACTGCCCAAGTTAAAGGCGGGAGGTAGCTCGGCCTGCGATTCCAACAAGACCCCGAGTGGGGTGTGTGGTGTCAGGCATGGTGCGATGGCGGTGGGTGAAGAGGTCTCGCAACACGCGGCGCATGACCTTGTTGGATGCATTGCGGGGGAGCGATGGCACCACCCACACTGCTGCCACCTGTGGGGACCGAGGGCCGATGGAGATAGGGAGGTTGCGTGAATGTGTGTGATGGCAAGCCCACAGGGTGCCATACTAGAGCTTGCTGAGGTAGATGGTCTTGTGACATTGTGTGTGTCTGCGTGTGCGTGTGCGTGTGCAAGTGTGTGTGCGTGTGTGTGTGAGAGTGTGTGTGTCTGCGTGTGCGTGTGCGTGTGCAAGTGTGTGTGCGTGTGTGTGTGAGAGTGTGTGTGCGCACGTGTGTGTGTGAGTGTGAGTTTGTGTGTGTGAGTGTGAGTTTGTGTGTGTGTGTTTGTGTGTGTGTGTGTGTGTCTGTGCGCGCGCTCGTGCACACGCATGTGTGGAACCATGTGAGAAGGATGAGTGTGATGGGATGGGACTATAGGCGCTTGATACTCAACACATCCATGGATCCTGGGCACATGTGGGTATGTGTGGGCACGTGTGGGTATGCGTGGGTATGTGCGGGCATGTGCGGGCATGTGCGGGCATGTGCGGGCATGTGCGGGCATGTGCGGGCATGTGCGGGCATGTGTGGGCATGTGTCAGCCTGTGTCGGCGCGTGTCGGCGTGTGTCGGCGTGTGTGGACGTGTGTGGGCACGTGAACTGGAGAGTGGAGTCCTGGCAACAGATAAGCAGCGTGTCTTGGCCGAGACCACCCATACAGAGAGAGCAGCACACCTTAAAGAGCGGATTCAGGTGGGCCTGGAGAGCACCAGAAAACACCTTCCTCAGATCATCCTCCGACACCACCCCCCCTTCCGGCCCGTTCTTCCCTTCACTCCTCTCTCCCTTCTCCCCCATCCCTCCCCCTCCTCGCATCACCGCTACCACCACCAGCTCCTCTGGCCCGCCACCACGTGGCGCGACGCCAATGGCTGCAGTCTCTGACACGGCAGGGTGGGCCGTGTTGCACACCCGCTCCACCTCCACCGATCCCACCTGTCAGGTGGGATGGGATTGGGATCGCAGTCAGAGTGTGTTGGGATAGGGACCAATGAAGGAAGGCTGGAAAAACCGATTTTTGAATTGACTAAAAAAAGGAAAAAGTAGCCCATTTGCTGGAATACAGGGGCGATAGGAGCCATCGGCAGGCGAATGTGAAGGTGCATTGAGGATGGCGATGACATGGAGGATGGGGGTGGAAGGGAGGACGGTGTGTGGTGGGCATGCTATCCAAGAGAGGAAGGTGTGTGGTAGGCATCCTATCCAAGAGAGGAAGGTGTGTGGTGGGCATGCTATCCAAGGGAGGAAGGTGTGTGGTGGGCATGCTATCCAAGAGAGGAAGGTGTGTGGTGGGCATGCTATCCAAGAGAGGAAGGTGTGTGGTGGGCATGCTATCCAAGAGAGGAAGGTGTGTGGTGGGCATGCTATCCAAGTGAGGAAGGTGTGTGGTGGGCATGCTATCCAAGAGAGGAAGGTGTGTGGTGGGCATGCTATCCAAGAGAGGAAGGTGTGTGGTGGGCATGCTATCCAAGAGAGTAAGGTGTGTGGTGGGCATGCTATCCAAGAGACGAAGGTGTGTGGTGGGCATGCTATCCAAGAGAGGAAGGTGTGTGGTGGGCATGCTATCCAAGAGAGGAAGGTGTGTGGTGGGCATGCTATCCAAGAGAGGAAGGTGTGTGGTGGGCATGCTATCCAAGAGAGGAAGGTGTGTGGTGGGCATGCTATCCAAGAGAGGAAGGTGTGTGGTGGGCATGCTATCCAAGAGAGGAAGGTGTGTGGTGGGCATGCTATCCAAGAGAGGAAGGTGTGTGGTGGGCATGCTATCCAAGAGAGGAAGGTGTGTGGTGGGCATGCTATCCAAGAGAGGAAGGTGTGTGGTGGGCATGCTATCCAAGAGAGGAAGGTGTGTGGTGGGCATGCTATCCAAGAGACGAAGGTGTGTGGTGGGCATGCTATCCAAGAGAGGAAGGTGTGTGGTGGGCATGCTATCCAAGAGAGGAAGGTGTGTGGTGGGCATGCTATCCAAGAGAGGAAGGTGTGTGGTGGGCATGCTATCCAAATCAGGCAGCACGTGAGAAGAGGAGAAAGCCTGGAGGAGGCGAGAGCACTGGGAGGGTGGACGGCAGGAAAAGGACAGGGCACAGCTGAAAGAACGGCACAGTTGAAAGAACGGCACAGTTGAAAGGGCTCAGCTGGCTCACAGTACGGACTTGATGCCCACATCGTGTCCCCCACAGCCTCACCCTCCCCCCCTCACAGCCCCAGCGGCCCACCTTGACACCGCCCAGGTTCATGGTGTTGTCAGTGCGCCCGTGTGTGCGCCAGTAGCCCCACCTTGCCCCCCACAACTCCACCTTGCCCCCCACAACTCCACCTTGCCCCCCACAACTCCACCTTGCCCCCCACAACTCCACCTTGCAACCCACCACCTCACCATGCCCCCCACAGCCCCACAGCCCCACAGCCCCACCTTCACACTCAGAGATTCACCCAGCAGCCCACCTTGACGCCACCCAGGTTCATGGTGTCATCAGTGCGCCCGTGTGCGCGCCAGTAGCCCCCCACCCCCCACTCCACCGCGTCCCCGTGCCGCCGCAGCCGCTGGAAGGGACCAGGGGGGATGAGTGGTGGCCATGGGGTGATGATGTATGGGGCGATGGGGTATGGGGTGATGGGGTATGGGGCGATGGGGTATGGGGTGATGGGGTATGGGGTGATGGGGTATGGGGTATGGGGTGATGGGGTATGGGGTGATGGGGTATGGGGTGATGGGGTGATGGGGTATGGGGCGATGGGGTATGGGGTGATGGGGTATGGGGCGATGGGGTATGGGGTGATGGGGTATGGGGTGATGGGGTATGGGGTATGGGGTGATGGGGTATGGGGTGATGGGGGCATACTGCTGGCACCAAGTCCAGTGGCCCAGAGAAGCATGAGCAGTGGAGGCAGGACTAGTAGCTGACCTTGAAACCTGGTTGGGGTGGGGAGGCAGCTGGTTGGGGTGGGGAGGCACCTGGTTGGGTGGCCAAAGGCACCTGGCTAAAGCGACCTAGCATACTGATGCTTTTCTTCATGACCAGTCATCCCTGGGGTTGAAAGGCACTTGATTGGCTGAAAAACACGTGGAAAAGGACCTCGCAGGGCTGGGTAGAAAGGCACCTGGCCGTGAAACTCCGGCATGCCTTCAAAGTAGACCCTGTAGTGATCCGCGTTCAGAAGCTTCCACGAAGCTCCCAGCATGCGAGGCATCAGCGCGCACTCCCCCATCAGCCAATCACCGCCCTCCATTCCACCCGCCCCACTACCACTCCCCTTCCTCCACTCCCCAGGATCCACCACTCTCGCCCCCCCACCACTGCCCCCATCCACTCCCCCACCCCCGTCCCCCTCTGCACCCAGCAGCACCGCTCTACACCCCATGGCGGGGGTGCTGAAGCAGGAGAGCGCCTGGGGCTGCAGCAGGGAGCCGGTGAGAAAGGCCCCAGCGATCTCAGTGCCCCCACAGTACTCCAGTATGGGTGCATGGTAGCGTGCTCGTGACATGAGCCAGAGATAGTCTGAGGGGAGGGAGGCCTCTCCCGTAGAGGAGAAGAGGCTTGCACAAGGAACAAGGAACAAGGGTCATGGACAGAAACGGAAAGAAATGTGTGGAACAAGGGTTGGAGCTGAGGTCGTTGAAAGGAGGGCGGCGGCGGACAGGAGTAGTAGTGCCCATGTCGTACTCGAGCACGGGTGTTCGGTAGCGGGCGCGTGATATGAGCCAGAGATAGTCGGACGGCAAGGAGGCCTCTCCTGTAGAGGAGAAGAGGCTGAGAGGGGGAAGGGTGGGGTAGGCAGGTGGGTGGAAAAATGTGAAATACAGAATGCGGTAGATGGAATATGGAGCATGAAAGATGGAGCATGGATCATGGAGAAAGGCGGATGGGGTGTGGACAAAAATGTAAAGAGAGTTGTGGGCTGAGTATTGGAACAGGGTACCTGAACAAGCGATGGTTGGAGGAGGGGAGAGTGGTGGGCGGGAAGAAGGCGGGGCAAACCTTGAAGTGAGCAGAGAATACGGGGAGTGAGCAGCGCGTGAGAGGGCTATGTCCTTGCTAGGTAGTCATCCCACTGCTGCACCTTCTTCACCGTATGTGCAACCAATCACCGCTCGCTACTGAACGGCGCACCAAACAAAACTCACTCACCGTATGTGCGACCAATCACAGCCGTCGGTGCAGCCAGATGCCTTCCAGGAGCGCACGAGGCTGGGCACCACCCCCAACACCGTCACACGTGCATCCTGCTCCGTGAAGGACGTCCATGGTAGGGGAGAAAGGGGTGGGGGGGGATGATTGCAGGGAGAATGATGGAGAAGGGGTGAGAGGGGGGTGTTGGCAATGGGGTTTACGTGGGGTCACTTGCGTTCTACCAATGGAGCTAATAGGGCACAACTCACCCACAGCTCAGGTTCTGCCCTGCACTCCCTTTGCTGCCCCTGCTCTCCTCTATTGCCCATTACATGACCCACCCTGTTCAGTCCCCACACCAAGCAAGCACTGCAAGCACCCCATCCCCAAACGCACGCCCCACCCCCACCTGCAAACCCCATGCCCACCTGCACGAAGCGTGCAAATCCTTGGGTGAGTGGCGAGCCGTTGTAGAGAGCGATGGAGGCGCCGTTGAGCAGAGCGGCGAAGAGCAGCCAGGGACCCATCATCCACCCCAGACTCGTGGGCCAGCACACCACGTCGCCTCCCTCCCGCTGATGCTGCTGCCGCTCCTGCGCGCTGCCATGTTGCTCCCTCTCACTCCCCTCTGGCCCTTGTGTGCCGCACTGCATGCCCCTGAGGTCGTGGTGCGCCCACGCGTCTGCAGCCGCCTTGATGGCCGAGAGCGCCGACCATGGGATGGCCTTGGGGGTGCCTGCATGTATGCATGGATGGATGGATGGATGGACGGACGGACGGACGGATGGATGGATGGACGGATGGACGGATGGATGGATGGATGGACGGATGGACGGATGGACGGATGGATGGATGGATGGACGGATGGACGGATGGACGGATGGATGGATGGATGGATGGATGGATAGATGATTGGGATGGGCAGTATGGCGCGGTGTGGCGTGGTGTGGCTGTATGTGAGAATAGTGCAGCAGAGCGAATAGGTAAAGCTGTGCGATGGCTGGGACCATGAAGCACACATTCCCAGTTGAATGAGAGGCGGTCAACAGAGGGCAGGGCTCATGCCATGTGTGGGCAGCACAGGTGCAGCTTTCACTCACCACCTACCCAGCACCCAGCAGCACCCAGCAGCACCCAGCATCCTTCACCCTTCACCCACCAGTGGTGCCAGAGGAGAAGAGAATGTTGATGGTGGCGTCCACTGGCATGCTGACACCTGGCATGCTGTGAGTGGCGGAGGTGGGAGGCGCAAAGCAGGGAGGGCGGAGGGAGTGCACATTGAGCCCTCAGGTTGCCAGCGCAGGGAATGAGATGAGAGGTGCCGGGCGGCAGCTCTGGGCAACACACAGCGAGTCAAGAGGCGACTTTTAAGGCGCTGCAAAATAACTTCTGAGGCACCCCAACAGTTGGGGAGCAAACAGGGAGTCAAGAGATGCATGCAGCCAAGCGTTCATCAGCATGCGTGTGCTCATCCCATCACCGGGCAGCACCGCACTGCACCTGCTAGTGCTGCTCTCTGTTGCTCGCTGCCCCTCAGCCAGAAAGCTGCTCCACCACACGTCGCCCTCTCTCAGCGCGGCACGTGGCGCTCCCTCAGTGGCTGGCAGCACAATGGCGGGCGGCGCACCCGCCTCCACCACCCGGCTGGGTGTGACAATGAGGGGCGAGTGGAGGGAGGAGGGACGAGGAGGGGCGAGGAAGGGCGAGTGGAGGGAAGAGGGACGAGGAGGGATAACGGGAGAGGAATGAGTGGAGGGGGGCAGACAGCATAGAGGCCAGGAGCGAGGAGGGGGGAGGGGTGAGGAGCGAGGAGGGGGCGCAGGAAGGTGGGCAGCATGGGCATTGGGAGAGGAGTGGCAGACGGCAGAGATGCGAGGGGAGAGGCAAGAAGAAAGCAGCTGTAGCAGAGCAGTGACAGAGAGGAGAGGGTTTGCGAGCAGCAGGCACGGTGGCATCTACCTGTAGAGTGGCAGCAGCTTTCCACCACGCGGAATGAAGTCCTGCGAGGGAAAATACCGAGGAGAAGGACGCACAGGGAGGAAGAGGAGCAAAGAACGGTGTACTTGGGGGTTTGAGCAGGGAAGGAGAGACGGATGGAAAGAGGTCACGGGGCTTTTCAACCAGCAACAGCCCCACTCACTCACGCTCTGCCTGTTGATCCATCCGCCAGATTACCCACCATCCCCTAACACCCCCTCCTCCACTCAAGCAGCATCCCCCAACCCCACTCAGTCACACCCACCTGTCATTCCCCTGTGCATCCGTGGCTCCTCTGTCACCCCTGCGGCCATGACTTTCACTCCTCGCCCCACCTGTGTGCGCCTTGCCCCACCCACCTGTGTGACGTAGACATGAGCAATGGGCGAACACTGAACATGTTCGCCCGAACCTCCACGAACATGTCTTGTAGGCGAACCGAACATGTTTTGGCGATTTTGGTTGTGTTCGGTGTTCGTGATAGGGGGGCGAACACTGCATGTTCGAGGTTCGAGAGTGTGTTTTCAGTTGGCCTGCTCCTCCCCCGTGGCCTCCCTCCCCCCCCTTCCGAACATCGAACATGTTCGGCCGAACATCAAACATGTTTGGCCGAACATTTGTGGCCAAAAAACATGTTCGGTTCGGTTCTGTCACGAACATGTTCGGACGAACCGAACAGGCGTTCGGATTTTTGCTCATGTCCGATCGCCTTGGCTTCCACAATTCTCAGGCGAGAAGCCATTTCGTGCGCAGAGAAGCTGTTAGCAATGGACACAGCAGCACGCCCAACCCTGCCTCCCTACCAACGTGAGTGGCCACGCGCCTCGCCTCACCCACCTGAGTGACAATGGCCTTGGCTCCTGCAATCTTCAAGCGGGCAGCCATCTCACGAGCAGAGAAGCTGTCAGCGATGGACACCACGGCTGCACCAACCAGCAGCACGCCCAGGTAGGCCGCCAGTGAGTGCACCGTCATTGGCAGCGCCAGTGCCACAGGGTCGCCTGGACGGATGCCGCGTGCTTGTAGGGACTGGGCGACGGCACTGGGTGGGATGGGAAGAGGGCGGGCGGCTAAGTGGAGAAAGACGCACGCGTCCTGCTGCGTCCTGCGTCTGGACGCAGCGTCCAGACGCAGAGACGCAGGACGCACCCCGTTTTTTTTTTCGGGCTGACCGGAAAAAAATTGCCTCTGCGCGAAATTGACTTCAACGATTTCGACGCGACTGTCAATTTCGCGTCATGTCGACCCCCCCTAACCCATTTCGACCATCAAAAACACCCTAGAGGGTTTACCAAGACAATTCTCCTTCGTAAACCCTAAACCCTGGAAATGTAAAGGGGACGATTTTGCCTCAAATGTGTGCATCGTCGTTCCCCCCCCCCCCTTCCCATACCCTATAACATCATTTTTCGGCTGCCCGGGGGTTTTTTTTGCCCTGCCCGGGCATGCGTCTTTTCATGCGTCCTGAAGGCCCTCCTCTAGCGTCCTGCGTCTAAGACGCTGCGTCTGGACGCAAGCGTCCTAGACGCAGGACGCGTCTTTCTCCACTTAGGCGGGCGGTTGAGAGGAAGTATGAGTGTTGGGTACCGCCACAGCTGCGGTCACCAACAGCAGCACGGCCAGGTAGGCCGGCAGTGAGTGCACCGTCATGGGCAGCACCGGTGCAATGGGATGGGGTCCCCTTGCTGGGATGATGCCTCGTGCTTGCAAGGAATGCGCGACCGCACCGGGTGTGATGTTAGAGAGGGCGATTGAGAGGAGTTGGAAACGGTTGAGCTGGCGACAGAGTTGGGGTTGATGGTGGGGGACGAGGGGTGGGAATGTGAGGAGCAAGTGACGGTGGTGTCAGCGGCAACGGGGGCGAGTGAACCTCCAAGACACTGTGGCATCTCACCACCTCTCACCAACTCTCACCAGCTCGCACCCACCCACCCACTCACACTGCTCGCTGCCTCAGCTCGCCAATGGTCATGCACCGCACTGCTGCCCCCTCCTCCCACTCGTCCCGCCACACCACCGCCACCCGCTCCCCCCTTGCTTCCCCCGCACTCTCCCCTCCTTCCCTCCCTGCAGCACCTGCCAGCCCGTTCCTCCCCGCACCCATCCCTCTGCCCTCTCCCTCTGCCCCCCCATTCCCTCTCCCCCCCCAGCTCCCAACGCCGCCCAGGCAACTCTCTGCAATGTTGAGCTCTGCCCCGACCAACCAGCGTCCTCCGGGCAGCTGAAAGTGTTCCTTGGGATCCTCGGGCAGGGAGAAGATCTTCTGAGGGCGCTTGTGGAAGATGATGCCCAGGTGGCGGAGAACGATTGGCCAATAGAGCTGGCGCACGGAGGCAAGGGAGGGGAAGGAGAGCAGCAGAGGGGCACAGAGGGGCACAGAGGGGCACAGAGGGGCACAGAGGGCACCGTGGACGAGCTTGTCTCGTCTCACCTATCTGAACAACAAAGGCTCTCTCAGATCATCCCCTGCTGACGCCACGGTGTGACCCACCTCTGGTCGGTCGTACGAGAGTCGCTGCAACAGCGCGAAATCACCCGCCAGGTCCACACGCTCGTGTCGGGGCTTTCTGAGAAGCTTCCTGCCCTCGCTGCTGTCCAGCAGGCGGCCTAGATTTGTTTGCCGCGCCTCCTCCCTGCGTGGATGGGGCGGGCCGAGGAAGGGGGAAAGGAGAGAAACGGGGTGGAGAGGGGAAGAAGGGCAGGGAAGGCGTGTCAGACGCGTGTGAGGTGAGGATTTCACGAGGGCGGAGTGTGAAGCTTCCTCAGAAAACGGTGTTCATCAGCGGGATGAGCAGGGGAAGGAAGGGGGGGAAGGCAGAGAGGGAGGGAGAGGGGGGCCACGGGGGTGTCTGGCAAGGCGGCGGCTCAATGCAGCACTCCGTGGGAGGCGATGGGGTTGGGAGCTGCTGTATCGCTGCGACCAGAAGGCGTGCCACCAAGCCGCTGGGTGAATTGGAGCGCAGGACGCCGTGCCAGCGAGGCAAGGCGCCACCCGCGCCACCCGCGCCATCTGCGCTATCTGCGCCATCTGCGCTATCTGCGCCATCTGCGCCATCCGCGCCGACCGTATTATCTGTATTAGTGAGCCTGGGCTTACCGCGCAGGCGTCCACACTGGCGGCGGTCCGAGCGCGCGCTCGGGCCACGTGGCGAAGGCGGACGCGTAGAGCAGCTCGTGCAGGGGGAACGGCACGTCGGGTCGCAGCAGCGAACGCGCCACATGCTGCCACGTGGCGGGAATTGAGAGGCCGTTTGCGGCGCAGGAGTGGAGCAGGGCGGTGAGGGCGCGGAGGAACGGCTCGGCGCGCTGTGGGGGGAGGCCCGCGGCGGTGAGTTGCTGGAGCGTAAGCGCGGCGAGCGGATGAACCGGCGAGGGGTGGCTCGGGGGAGAGGGAGTTGAGCCAGATGGCGCCATGGGCGTCGAAAATTGGCGCGCAACGGGTGGAGACGAAAGCTATTGGAGTCGATAATCGGTTGTGACGGAATCTGTGGCGACTGAAAGATGGCGGTAACGACGAGAAGGTGACGAAGACGGTCACGAATTGGCGAAGGACTGAAAATAATATTTATGTCGAGTTGTTTGTGAGGCAGTGGGAGTCGAAAGTGAGAGATGAGACGCATGTTCGGATGGAAAGAATGCGCGGAGATCCCAAAAGGGTAGACGAGGGCGAAATGACGCGCATCGGCGGAAACCTTTTTTCTCTCAACTGCATCGACCTAAATTACTCCGACCTCGCCACGTGGGCAAACCCCTTAATTGGATTGACCGCGTTTGCGCGAGCCCTTTCCGCGCGATTTCCGAGCAATTAAGAGAAACGCCCACGTGGCGATGTCGGAGTAATTTAGGTCGATGCAGTTGAGAGAAAAAAGGTTTCCGCCGATGCGCGTCATTTCGCCGTAGACGAGGCAGCCGTTTCGAAGCGGGTTACCTGCCGAAATTTTGTCCGAAGGGGAAGCTCTTCATGAGAACGAACTTTTGCGAGGCATAGTGGCGAGGCGAGGAGGAATCCTCGGGTCGAAGGGGAAAAGGAGATACTGTACGAGGGGAAGGCAGGGACCAATCAACAGGAAAGAGGGGAGCGATCGCTTGCAGGGTGTGCGGGGTGGGGCGGGCGAGCGGAGGGTGAAGCCAGGGAAGCGGGGTGACGTGAGGGAAGCGCGACCATTGGCTGTCCGATCCGACTCGTTGCCGAGAGAATTGCTCCAGTGCCTTGTTTGGTGATTCGCTCTTGCCCACGTGTCCCCGAATTGCTCGAGTGGCCATCCAATTCAGTGATAATTGCTCGAGTGGCCATGCCAGGGCATTTTCGATGTGTTTTTTTTCCCTGGCACATAACCCTACAAGGGTTCGTACCCACGAAATTCCTCGTTCGCACAACAGTAGATGCGCGGTCATTTTCGGCCCAATGCACGACCAATGAGCGCGCGGGCAATTACATCAGCGATCATAAACTGCAACGCCAGAGCATAAATGCACGAACATATTATTGACCGCGCACGATTGGTCGATAATATGCTTCTTGCCCTTTTTGGCAATGCGCGTCCAATCACGCACGGTCATATAATTCACGACCATATATTTAGGCGATAAAGCTTCGCCCAACAACCAATATGAGCGCGCATATACTACCATTAGTTCTATCATATGTCCGGTCCATATAAAACCATGCATATCAAATGCCATAAATATATTCTCTGCTATTAATTTAAGCCCGTCGTACTAGAAATAATATTTTATCGTGGCCTATCATAATATTAAGCCCATCATACCGTGGTCCATAATATTGTATTGCCGGTAATATGGTTGCAGAAATAATATGTTTGGCAGCATAATATTAATTTAAGCCCAGCATAATATGCTGCCACCGTGGTTATGATGGGCTTAAATTAATAACAGAGAATATATTTATGGCATTTGATATACATAGTTTTATATGGACCGAAAATATAATAGAACTAATGGCAGTATATGCGCGCTCATATTGGTTGTTGGGCGAAGCTTTATCGCCTAAATATATGGTCGTGAATTATATGACCGTGCGTGATTGGACGCGCATTGCCAAAAAGGGCAAGAAGCATATTATCGACCAATCGTGCGCGGTCAATATTATGTTCGTGCATTTATGCTCTGGCGTTGCAGTTTATGATCGCTGATGTAATTGCCCGCGCGCTCATTGGTCGCGCATTGGGCCGAAAATGACCGCGCATCTACTGTTGTGCGAACGAGGAATTTCGTGGGTACGAACCCTTGTAGGGTTATGTGCCAGGGAAAAAAAACACATCGAAAATGCCCTGGCATGGCCACTCGAGCAATTATCACTGAATTGGATGGCCACTCGAGCAATTCGGGGATACGTGGGCAAGAGCGAATCACCAAACAAGGCACTGGAGCAATTCTCTCACTCGTTGCCAGTTCAACTGATGCCACATGTCCGAGCGTGAATGACTGCACAACAAGTGCTGACGTCTCGTCATGTCCCTCTGACATCCCAATTGCTTCTGATGACAACATGTGTTTGCTGGTACAGCGACAGACAGTTCCGCACCCAGAAGAAAAGGTCAAGTACCGTATTCTCCCGGACATAGCACCCTAGGGTATAGCTAAAAATACAGGGAAAAAATGGGGGGGGTCTCCTCATAGGAAAAAAATACATAATACCCGGGTCTTTACATATGGTATATTTTAGTGTTAGTGTTTATTTAATTAGACAATGTGGGTGTTTTGATTTTCATTTTAACATCACTGTCTGAGGCGCGAATGTGGGTTTCGGCCACGAGCTTCATCACCCCCACGAAAATGCCATGTGGCACCTCTCTTGCCACTTGCGGCGGAAGATTCGCCTGCACGTGGTCACAGCGAAGTAGTGCGAGGGGGGAAATCTCGGTAGATTGTAAGTGAATGTACCGCGAAATTTCATCTAGGGACAAATTTTCGCGATATTCTTCAATATTGCAGCTACTCGTTAACGACTATTATAACGAATTCGTAAGAAAAGGGGGATGTTGTAGAAAATCAGCAAAAAAGGGGGGTATAGTAGAAACGAGGCTCCCCATAACACCCACCCCGCACAAGCTACCCGGGGGTGTACAATTATGGGGGGGTGTTTTGTCCGGGAGTATACGGTATATATTGTTGGGCTGAAAATTAGCCCTTAGGATCTTTTCAAGGCTAAGATCTCTTGAGTAGTTTGAGGAAGCATAATATCAGAGTTGCTGAACCACCTTGTACTGGTATGTGAGAACAAGATAAGTTGATAATAGCAAAGAGAAACAAGTCTTTATATGATTACAAAGAAATACGAAAGGTTTTACTTTAACTGTTTTGCTATTGCGGTTCGATACAATGACGACTCAGGTAACTGCTCAGTATCGAGTCAGTTATGTGTCCTTGCTGTCGCACTGTACTTTTCGTCGAGTCAAAGGTCAGCGATCTTTTGTCAGAATAATGAACTATGATGAATCAACTAGCAAACAGTTGGGTACAAGTACTAACCCTAGTTGGGTTGTACCCCTTATGGGCTACCCCACTACAGCCTACACAAATGTATAAGTTATAATGTTCTGACACACCCCCATAGGCAAAGTGGGGGAGAACAAGTGGTCAGAAGACCAGTCAAGAGAAGCAAAGCAAGCTCAGGGTGGATCACAAAGTCCCCACACAGTCTGAGCACAAGTAAAGGGCCACAAGGCCAGTTCAGATGCAGAGTAATATAAAGAGAACAAACAATACAGTGATCATACCCTAGTAAGTGCAAGCATGCAGGTATATATATGTAGATCACAGTACAAGCAGAGTCAAGCAGTAAGTAAGTGAGGCAAAGTGGGCACAAGGCCTAACAGAGTAGCAAAGCGCTGATGATCACTAGGCGGAAGTGCCTTGGTGAAGACATTAGCAGTGTTGGCCCGAGTGGCCACGTACGCGAGACGAAGCTGGCCACGCTGCTGCAACTCTCGAGCAAGGAAGTATCGCAGAGCGATGTGCTTCGTTCTGTGCTCCAGTCTGTGCTCCTAACACAAGGCAATCATGGCCTTGTTGTCTACGTACAGAACTGGAGGCGAACGAGGCTGCTCTTCCAAGACGGTCAGCAAGTAGGTCAGCCAGCGGAGCTCCTGAGCAGCCATAGCCCCGGCGTAGATCTCAGCCTCACAACTGGAGCTGAGAACTGAAGACGAGCGGGTAGACCGCCACGACACAGAGCCAGAACCAAGACTGAAGGTGTAACCCTGTGACGACCGCTGCGTAGCTGAGTCGTCAACCCAGGAGGCGTCTGCGTGACCGGTGAGAACAACTGGACCCCGTCCTCCAAGCACGAGCCCCATGCCCGACGTACTGCACAGGTAACGCAGTACCCTCTTCGCAACATCACAGTGCACCTTTCGGTGCCTACCGGGAGCCACGTAGCGAGCCAGAAGGCTGAGAGGGTACGCGAGGTCAGGTCGTGTGCAAGTCATCAGGTACATGAGGCAACCCACAAGCTCTGGGTACGGACCACTCGGCTCTACGGACTCGTCCGAAGGTGGAGCTGAGAGCGAGTGGTTGGTAGACAGAGGAGTGGGCTGTGGCGAGGAGAACTGGAAGCCAAAGCGCTGAAGGACCTGGTGCACCATGTCTGACTAAGTCAGTGTGATGGTGCGTCGTGCTTTGTCCCGGGTGATCTGCAGGCCGAGATAGCAGCGCAGTTCACCCAGGTCAGTGCAGGTGTGTCTCTTCTACAGCTCGGACTTTACAAGGGTCAGTGCCTCAGTGTCAGCAGTGGCAAAGACGAGGTTGTCGACGTACACGAGGACGTAGAACGGTGGCAGAGAGGTGTCGGTGCGTAGAAACAGCGACGGGTCAGCAGTAGAAGGAGCAAACCCAAGAGCCGCAAGTGTAGTCCTCAGCGTGTCGTGCCACTCGCGAGGCGCCTGGCGGAGACCGTAGACTGGCCGGCGGAGGCTCCACTGGGTACCTGCAGGAAACGTCCCGGTGAAACCAGGTGGTCGGCGCAGCCAGATCTCCTCGTGCAGGCTGCCCTGCAAGAAAGCTGTGCTGAAGTCCAGAGAGTGCAACTCGTAGTCACGCTGAGCAGCGACGTGTAGCAACTCCCGAAGAGTAGTCATCTTCGGGGTGGGGGAGAAGGTATGGAAGTAGTCAACTCCCTGTCGCTGACTGAAACCTCGAGCAACGTAACGCGCCTTGAAGGTAGGCGGAGAACCCGGCGGCCGCTTCACCATGAAAATCCACATGCCATCGACTATGTTCGCCCCAGGTGGAGGAACCTCGTCGACATAGGTGCCTGTGGACTTCCAGGATGCCATATCGGCATCCATGGCTGCCTGCCACTGAGAGGAGTAAGGACCCGTAATCGCCTCTGCGTAAGAGCGCGGGGTCGGGATGTCTGGAGCATCCGGGTCTCCCTCAGGGGCAAGCAGCAT